TCCATCGTTTCCATCATTTCCATCATTTCCATCATTTCCATCGTTTCCATCATTTCCATCATTTCCATCATTTCCATCGTTTCCATCATTTCCATCATTTCCATCATTTCCATCATTTCCATCGTTTCCATCATTTCCATCATTTCCATCGTTTCCATCGTTTCCATCTTGGCAGGGGGCGGTGCACTCATCAGTGCCTCGGTTGGTGGTGCCACGTTCGCCATGGCGCTTCGTTCTGTGCTCTCCCATCGCGTCTTTTTCCACTCCGCCAAGTTGCCCCTCCCCACTGGCGAGAAGAGCTGACTCAGTGGACTCGCCCCCCTGGTCTTCACTGCCCTCCTTCTTGTACTGCATCATTTTAATGGCAAATCGGTGGAGCAAAATCCAGTCCTTCTTGGTGAAGGTATCATTTAAGTTGTGACTGTCTACAAAGCCTTGGAACCCCTTAGGCTCATTATTCAAATAAATGACGCACCCAATTTCTCCCTTCACTCTCACTTCAATTTGTATGCTACACAGATTCGTCAGCTGTCTCAAAATAAAAGCCACCTCAGATGCAGACCAGAAGTTGTAATTAATGTATATCTTCATCTGATTGGCTACATCTCCTAAGTAGGATTTTATTCCCTCTTGGTATAAGAATAGGACCGATTTGTAAAAATAAAATTTGAGCTTAAAAAAAAAGGCATCTAGATCTAGATGCTCTTTCTTAATGATCATCAGGACCTTCTTCAACCACGTGTTCTCAATGGTGGGTTCTATAATGTACTTGTTTGTGCAGAAAATATTCTTCTTGATCAAATCTACGTAGAGGCATTCACTATCGTTTAGGTCCCCCCCCAGATGTGCCGATTGATGGTCTGGATCTGCTTTGTCATAATTGATCGTCACCTGGGTCTGACTAAGGGTCTGACTATGCGTATGACTATGCGCATGACTATCAGTCGGAGCCTGACCCTGAGATTGACTCTTTGTAGAAGGGTACCCCCCATGGTTGTTGTAGACGATCCAGGTTAGTCCTCCTTTGCGGAAGGTGCTGACACTTTTGATGTTGTTAAACACGTAGGAATTGTGAATTCCCGATTTGGTCAGCTCGTCCATGATGAGCAAATCGTCATCCGAGAAAACGATATCTCTGTTAATAATTTCGTTGATCTGCTTTAGGTATATACCGTCGTCTATGTTCAGACAAGCACTACATAGATTTAGACTGAAGTTTTTACTTCCTTTCTTTTTCCTACTGCTTCCTTTGGCATTGTTAGACAAGAAGAGATCTGTCATGGGGTGAACTGTATCATTCATGCTGCTAGTGTTCCTTGGAAGGCCTTCCAATCCCATCACTTTTTTAGTCTTCTTTTTCAACCCAAGACTGAGGCATAAATTCAGGCTGGTGGAGGTCCTCATGTCGGGGGATAGATTAGTCAATTCGCTTGAGTTATAATTGAAGCAGCTGCTATCCACTGATTCGTTCGATTTCGACAGGAAGCGCCTTCTTCCTTCTAGGTCTCTGCTCACTGGATTTAGGACGCTCCCCCTGAGCCGCCTCCCTGTCAAGTCTATTAACGAGGAACGTCCTTCTTGTCGTGGAGGGGGGCACAATGGAGGGGGACAAAGAAGAGAACTTCCTGCAGGGGTGACTCCATTATAGAGTGTCTCCCCAGAATATTTCACCACAGAGGACACGTCGTTTATCTGTAGCGGGGGGAAATTCACAAGAGGAAGGAGGCCACTTCCACGAGATATTCCTTGTCTACGTCTGTCATAAAGGGTCCTATCAAATGGGTAGTCAAATTTGGAACTTGAGTTGAAAGATGCAAAACCATTTGGGGCGTCTTTCTTCAGAAGATTTCTCTTCTGCTCATACGGGGGGGTAAAGAAACTGTTGTAAGCTCCATTCCTGTAATTTCTCCTTTTGCTGGAAAACTCGAGGTTTCCTTTTTCTCGTATCGTGGGCTTGGCCAAATATTTCACCTGGTTATAGTCGTCTCGATGGCCATTACAATTGCTGCTATTGTCGATGTTGTTGTGGATGCTATTGCCGATGCTGTTGTCAGTGCTGCTATATAGACTAATGCTGCTCTGCAAGGCGAATTGCCTCACTTCCAACTGCTTTCCGATTTCGTCAAAGGTGGGCTCCACTTTCCCCTTCTGCAGGTTTCCTCCAAGATTGATGAGACTCTGTTCTGTCCGCTGTTTCGACCCCTGTAGCTCTCCTCTCCTTTGCTTACCCCCCACTCGGGGATTAAAAACATCATTGTGCTTAACTTCCTTCGTGATAAGATGAGCAATGCGCATTTCGCCTGTGCTTTTTTCTTCGTTCGACACGTTTACCTTCTCCTGGCGCGTCCGTTCATCGAACCCAGGAGGGGTCTCCTGTATTATGTCGGAAGGGGCCATGCCATTATTACACCCTGGAGGGAGATTCAATTCGCTTCCTTTATTCAAGACAGTATAGCAGCTTCTTTCGTTACGATAGGTACCAGTCAACTTGGGGCCACTCATGTTATACTCTCCATAAGAAGACCTTCCACCCGCATTTCGAATCGCTGAATCTTGGACCAGCATGCAGTTTTTACTTCTCCCCTCTGTATGGAAACCGAACTTGTTCTGGTGGCTCGACTCTCCATTTTCATTAAACGGATGAGTGATTCTGTTCATTTGGATCCGATTGGGGTGGTTACTCAGTGGTGCACTGACTGGTTCAATGACTGGTGCAGTCACTTCTGTACTCACCGCTTGGCTACCATTAACAGTCGGACAGTAGCTCTTTCCCTCCCCTTGGTACTTATTGTTTCCATGCAACTTTGTGAAGGTAACATTTGAATTCTTCGTTCTGCTCATGGGGGTCAAACCTTTCCTGTCATCATTTGTGCTCCTTCTTTGGGTGCATTGGTACGCCGTGACGTTAATGGGGTGGCGTCTGTTTTGGCCTTGCCCAGGGGGGACGCTTTCGATGGAGGGGACACTTCCTTCGGGTTGCTGACTTAGGTTCGTCCCGCCACTCTTGTAACTCGCCATTTGGAAGTTTTTCTATTTACTAGTGTGTTCCTTTCCTACGTTGTCTTTCCCTGCTATTCGGGGTGATCTCCTGCAGCCGTATATTGGAAACGTCTTCCCTGGTTCGTTTCGCAGTATTATGTAATTACGCTGGAGGGGTGCTCAGTGGGGTTGGCATTCGTATGTTTCTTTCTTTTCTCTCTTTTTTTTCCTATCTCGAGGGGAGTCCTTCCTATGTGTGCGGTTCTACCACGACGCGTGAACAGGTTAGTCGAGCTGACTGTCAAGTTCGCCTAAACAGGAGGACTCTCCAAACTTGGAGTGACACAAAAAAAAAAAAAAATACTCTCCAAATGGTGTAACCATCAAACGTGGCTAAGCAGACGAAGCTAAGCAAATGTGAAATTCAAATGAAAGCGTGTCTAGCTGTGCGAGCGGAGGGGACAACAAATGAAAGTTACTACGGCGGGTAGACGCCCAATGGCAGAATGGCTTCCTCGCTACCGATTTAAGAGGTAGTACTTCGGGGGAGGATGTAGCCCGTACGAAAAAAGGATAGCACAATGAATCACAAAGAATTGCAAACAAATGGTGTCGTCGTAACGGGGTAGACATAATGGACGACCCGATAGGAAGGGGGGTAGTGGTAAAGCACATTAGTACATACATACACACACAAACCTGCATGCACGGAAGCTCCTATATTCCGTGCGTCGAGGCAATTTTTCCTCTTCGCTCAAATCTATTAATCTTAAAAAGGAGCTCCCCACGCTTTCCAGAAAAGAAGAAAAAAAAGCATCAAAAAGAGGGGCACAAAAAAAAAAAAAAGAAGACACATATCTGTACACGTGAACACAATGCTGCTACCGCGCTGTTGTGGAGATTCCACAGGATGTTACTCTTCCGGGGGGTTATGCCGTCCCGGATGAGGACGCTAAAGGGATGGCAACAGATAGGCCAGTTCAAGCGGGATCAGCTCTGCAGCCGATGGGGCGGAATAATGTAACAATGCGGAGAGACGCGCAACGTAGAGAAGCGGTGCATGTGCATACGAAATAGGTCACAGCGTAACGAAGCGATGCATATATATACGAAGCAAGTCGCAACACGTAGCAAATCAACGGAGGGAAACCTAACTGCAGACAAAACAAACGTGCCAACATGAAAGGCAGTTCGATGCGGTTACTTGGAATGCAAAAAAAAAAAAAAGACACGTGGCAGGCGAGCTCTTCACAAAAAAGGTGATAACATCGAAACGCACGTCTGCCGAGGTATGCACGTGTGTATGAACACAAATGTAGATTCACTCTTGTTCGCTTTCCGACGCCCGCGTTCTTCAGGGTCAGCGAAATGGTGGAAAAAGGACACGTAGAAAGGAAACGTACAAAAAACAGACTTGGACATGCACACATGCATATAGAGACACGTGGGTATGCACTCACCTGGACGTGCGGAGAGACTGAACAAAACTGGAGTGAATACAAAACCGAAGGTGTGCCAATAGTGCCAGTCTTGCCAGTCGCGCCAATCGTATCAGTCGCGCCAATCGTATCAGTCGTGCCAGTTGATTTGTTCCTCCACCCACGGGCAGCATTAGTATTATCCAATGCTGGCAGCTTTATTCATTTAAAAACAGAAGCTATTCCGTGGACAAAGGTGGTCTCGTGTAATTGACGAACCATTCAAATGGGCCATGCAGCGAAAGCTAATCCAATTTTTTCGATTGGTAAAACAAAATTGGCTGTGGTGTTTACGCATGCACCACGCACTGGACGTATGCTTAGTTGCACAGAAAAAAAAAAAAAGGAAGGGAGAAGCAGAGTGAGCAGATCAAACGGAGGACATATATAGGACATGTGGGGGAGTAGCGGCAACCATGCTAGGGATGCACACCTCCCAAGGAAAAACAATTAATCAGTGCGTAGCCAACTGTGTTTCGAAGACTTCTATCAAATTAAGAAGACACAAATGGACATGTCAGGTGGGGTGAAAACACAATTGCAAAGAAAAGGTTTTGTAAAGTGAGACAGGGGGCTCAAGATCGGAATGGCAAGGAGGGGTTTAACAAATTGGACAAACGTGGATCATTCGCTACTCGGGTTGGCTCTCCGAATGGTAACATGCCATGCAGAAACGCTGCACTCCTTTGGGGGTACCAAATTGGGGCGAAATGGGTCGAAGTAGGACAAAGACAAAAGCTCCACAATGGAGGTCGGCGCGATGGTGGTTAGCGCAATGGCGATTTGCTCACTGGTGATAGGCGCGGAGAATGGATTAGCCACACGGACAAAACAAATCGGGACAAATGGGAAAAATGACACGTAAAAAAGGGACTGACAAATGGGTTGGACGCGGACAGGGAAAGGGACCGTCAAGTGGGCCGTTAACAGGGCTGCTAGCCGGGCTTCCGAAACGAAAAAAACAAACGAACGCAAGAAATGTAATTATTACAAACTTTTCATTCAGTCCAAAGAATAGGTATTTAATTAATCTACTGGAAAAAGAAGAAAGAGAAAAAAAGAAAAAGGAAAAATAAAAATAAGAATAGAATAAAATAAAAATGTGTAACAAGCTGACTTCGAGTTGACAGGGAGTACACAAAGAAAAAAAAAAAAAAAAAAAAAAATATCCATGCATGCATATACGTGTACAGAGTGCGTTTTGGCGATTATGTCGCTGGAACAGTGGGTATTAACGCATGTTTTGTGCGTACGTTACACGTATTTACGAAAAATGTTAGCATACTTTGGCATACTTGGCATGCTTGACATTGGTTGGCATACTTTGGTACACGTCACTTCTTTACGCACACTTTGCACACTCGCGCGCTGGTGTCATGGAAAGGCGTACACAAAACAGGGGATGCGGAATGATGAAAAAAAAATCAGGCAGACAGAGGAGGACAAGCACGAATGCATAATGCGTGTTGTGTAACTGCCGTGAACTCGTGACCACACGCACACATTTGCATATGCACAAGATCTAAAAGGGTTTTTTTTTTTACCCCGGGTTAGCAATTCTTGGTGTACCATTCTGTGCCAAAACATGGGCGGTCTTCACTACGTGCATGTCTGAAGGCCTTTTGTGGTTTTGTCAAAATTGCGCATTTTTTTATTCGCGGCACATGGGGTGAGGCAGCACGCGGGTGGCATGCGATCTGAATGATATTCCTCCTGTCCAACGGGAAACACGGGGGGATAAGACGCGTGCGTGTGTGCATAGGGGTTAGCCGCTTGATCGCTTAACTGATTGACCGCTTAACTGGTTAGCCTATTTACCGCTTTACCGTTAACTCCTTGACTGATTAACGGGACAACAGATCAACGCGTCAAGTGGTGAACGCACGGGCGTCTAACGGCTGCCTCTCACAGGGGCGTTACAAAAAAAATAAAAAAAAGTGACTACTTGCTGTGAAGCGCCGTATGGCTGGGTGAACAGAACGTGATACAACTTCGGGGGCAAAAGTGTAAGTCGGGCCAAACGGACGATGCTAGCCGTTACGGGGCAGAATTGCCCTAACGGAATGCAACTGAGCGACCCATTCTCAGTTGTCTCCGTACTGCTGAACTCTTTTCGCTGTGCACACATTTGGAGTGCCGCCCCCCCTCTTTCCCAAAAAAGCCTCCATTGGGTGGAGAAAGAAAGAAAAAAATATATGCGTGCGACTCCACCATCGGACAGGCCCCACCAACAAGTGTTGTAAAAAAAATGGGAATGCGTTAAGGCACTTCCCCCGTTCGGTTGCACTTTGCAGTGCGCTTGGGTTTAGAGTACGTTCCTTTGTTTTCCTTTTTTTTTTCCCCTCTTTCTTCTTTTTTCGCTTTTATTCCTATCCCTCTCCACAATCTGCTCTTGAAAAAAGGAGGAGCCCTGCGCAAGAGGCATGCGCTTCCCTCCCCAACTTTCATCCCTTTGAAGAAATGCGAAGGGAAGGGAAGAGACCATAAAAGGGGGGCTTAGACATCATTTTACTTTTCCCCAGGAGGGAATTTTCCTTCTTTTTTTTTTCCTTTCCAAATTTTCGATTGCAATATTTCGTTAAGTGCACTACGCTTTGAGGCACGCTCCGCCCGTGGCATTCCCCTCGTGATACCCTCCTCATCGTACCCTTCTCATGGCATCCCCCGCACAGCCCTCCCCGCGAGGAGGTTTCGCGCCCTACCGCCGCCCTGCGCTTCGCCCCCTACGTACACATGCATGTGCACAGCTGGGAGACCCCCCAAAGGGGACACACAGAAAATTTCCGCTCTCTGCTTGAAGGAGAATCTCACCTTTGGGGGGAATTTTCCAAAAGCGCGGAAAAAAAAAAAAAAAAAAAAACATATATACATATAAAAATGCATATTCTGCATAGTGCTCTTTTATTTTATTTTATTTTTTTTTACTTTACGCTGTTTTAACCCACTTTGCACATTTTTATTTCTCCCCCGTGGCATTTTCCCGCAAGGCAATTTCACACACACTTGGCTTGCATGCCAACTTTAAGCAAGCTGACGGTCTACTTCTCTCAACCGGCAAGGGTCACTCCACCCCGGTTTACACCAACTTTGAGGTACTCTCCACAAGTGAGAGAAACGGCTCGGACGGGAAGGCACGCATCCGCCCCCACGGGAGGATACACATTCGCATGTGACACGTGTGCGCGAACGCGGTAGACGCAGCACTGTGGTGAGAACTGCCTATACGCTAAGCTCAGCAGAAGGAAAAAAAAAAAGAAGAAGCCCCTTCTGTTCAGCGCAACGGGAGTTATCTACCTTCCCCAACTTCCCTCATGACCGGCATACTCGCATGCGCGTCGTGTTGAAGTGAAGTAAGAGTAGTGGTGAAAATTTCCAACACGGAATTCTTCCCCCTCTCCCTGCTTTGTGCATCATCCCACTTCGCAGTGATAAGGATATAATGTTCGGGTCGTCACTGAGGCGCGCGAGAGGCACGGTTGTAATGGACGAGAACCTGCCAACATGAATTCAGGTCCCAATTTCCGCGAGTGTTCCATCTCGCACGCTGATAGTGCAAATGGGGACTCACGAGCGAACGAAAATGACTACAGATGCCACAGCTACGGCGTCAGCAGCGAGAAGAGGAGCGACTATGTAGACAGCCCAAACGATCCCTCGGCTATGATGTACATCCCACATGTAAACTTGATGGGGAAAGGAGCATACCCTGCGGGCAACCCCAAGATAAACATAATCTGTACAGCTCACCGAAGCTGCAGTGAAGTAAGCATCGCTGAGGAGAGCGCGAACGCGTCAGAAAGGCTGTCCAGAAAGGCGACCGAAAAGACATCCGAAATGGCTAGCGCCGTCACACGCAGCAGCAATCCGAACATGGCGATAAAAAATTCCCTCACGAACAAGCTGCAGAAAAACTTAGACATGAGTTCTATATACAATAAGTACGACCAGAATGGATTGCTCTATTGCAAAGCTATTAAGTTTCTGATGAAAAGCGAAACGAAACATAATTACGTAAAGCCATTGACAGTGAAAATAAACAATCTTAAAAGCATCGGAGGGAAGCCGTACATGCGGCTAGAGCTGTCCGATGATTCGAATGAGTTGTTTTTTTACTACCTAGATTTGTATGAAGAGAATTACGAAAGCATAAAAAGGGAACAGAAGCTGGTTATTAACTTTGATTTGTTTCCATTTAAATTTATGGACCTTCTGGAAGAGTGTGTGCTCGAAAATGAGCAATGCGAAAAAGTGGAGGACCAGAGATTGCGTGCTGTTCTCATGCTGGACAGCAGTGGTAGAATGCTGGAACGGGATGCACACAATTATGGCAGCAGTGGGAATGACAATGCGGGAGGGAAGATGGGCGGGTCCCCCCATTCCTACTACAGTAATCATTCAAACACGGGATACAACAGTGGGGGAAGTAATAATCCAAGTTATGGCAGACCATATGGCTGCAGTGGCAACAATGGTAAGGAGGAGAAAAATGCAGAATGTGCACTTCTCAATCTGGTCGAAATCAACCAGTTTAAAGAGCTCACTCATTTGTCCCTCCAACTTAAGCGAGCTGACCATGAAAATGTTATTAGCTACCTCTGCAACAATATAAAATATATCAAGGCGTACAATGGGGAAATCATCGGCAAGCTGAACGAAGAAATTGTACAGAACGGTCAGAACATGGTGGAAATTAAAGGTCTGCAAAAAACGATTGAAATGTTGGAAAAAAATATAGAAAATCTCAAGTGCGACTTTAACAACACACTGAACAACGACATAAATAGGCTCAGAAAAGAACACGAAAGGATTATCGAAAAGAAGGAGGAAAAATTCAACTGCGAAAATGAAGAACTCAAGAAAGATCTTGAAAGTTTGAAAAATAAATTTACACAATTAAATGAAATGAACCAAAATTATGAACAAAAAATTTTTTACCTGAACGGCAAGGTAAAAAATTTGAAAAATGAGTTGGAAGAAAAAAACACAAATTTTGTAAAACTCGTAAAAGAGAAGGAAGACATCGAGTGTGCTAAATGTGAACTGGAGAAATATAAAAGCGAATTTACGGTTGAGTTTAATAATCTCAAGAGCAAGTACGAAAGGGAATGCGAAAGTAATATCTCCAATAGCTCCAGCTTTGAAAGCATCAAGATCAGCAACTCCAATCTGGAGACAGAGCTGAAGAAATACAAAGACAGGAATGGCAAACTCGAGAAAGAAATCAACATCGCCATTGACGAGATTAACAAGGGGAATGACATCATCACGAAACTGCAGACGCAGCTACGGAAGATGAAGGACAAACTGAAATGCAAGACGATTGAGCACATCAACGTGGAGAAAGTCAGCTCACAAAATGTCAGCGAAATTGGCAAGCTTCAGGGCGAGGTCAAAGCCTTGCAGGAGAAGCTCGCCCAGCGCGAGTCCTCGGAGGAGGCGCTCCGCAGGGAGGTCGACGCCCTGCAGCGCCGCAACGATGAGATGGCCAAGGAGTTGAACATATCTCGGGAAGGTGAACAGGGAGAGTGTTTCGCCGCTGACCCCCAGTTGAGCGTGCATCAACTGGGAATAGGTTTCCTTTTGTACAAGTCTCTTCCCCTCTGTATAAAAACAGCCCCCCCTCTGTACAAATCGCTTTCCCCTCCCCCTCCCCGCGCAGTCAACCTCCGCCTGAACAAAGAAATAACCAACAACAACCTGGACATGTACGCCGCCAAGCTGAACATGGGCGGGCCCCCCAACGTTGTACCAGGTGCGACAGAAGCGGCAACGCGCTTCCCCACCATCCAAGTTCCTCTGTCGTTATTTGATTTATTTGATTCGATTGATTGATTTGATTTTTTTTTCTTTTGACCCCGCCCCCCCGCAGGCGCCAACTTCCGCGTCGACACGAACCTGCTGGACAAGGACTTGTTCACGAAATTGAAGGCGAACTTGAAGAGCTCCACGACGCCCGGCCCGAGCCCCGCGTACGCCATGGATGGGTAGGCCATGAGGGAAAAAAAAAAAAAAAAGACAAAAGATACGAAAGAAAAAGAAGGAAACAAAGTGGAAAAAAAAGGAAACAAAGTGGAAAAAAAAGGAAACAAAATAACAACGAGCGGAGAGGTAACGCCTCCACTGAGGAACCCACTCATACACACACAAACGCGCGCCTCCTTCCGCCCCCTACAGCAATATGAACCTCAATTTAATGAATGGGAAAATAGACACTCTGGGTGAGTAGCAGCATGCACAAATGAGGCGCCACGGACGAGAACACCCATCCAACCAACCACACACACACACATGTCTCCCCAGCATTTTTTCCGTTATAATTGTCCCCCCCTTTCTTTTTTCTTTTCTGCTTCTTCACTGGCAGACATCAATGACCGGTACACCAAGCCCGTGAAGTTTATCCCCCCCGGAATTTAACCTCCCACTGCGACCTCCCTAGTGAGCAGTGCTTTAATTTTTTTACGTCTTCAGTTTGCGTGGCCAGTTTTGGCTGGCGGTCACCCTGGCCATTAACATGGCCATCAACCTGGCGGTCACTCTGGTGATTAACCTGGCTATCATTTTTAAGTTCCCCTTTTTGCGTGCCCTTTTTTAAGCGTCCACTTTTGCGTGCCCCTTTTTTCGTGCCCATTTCTTGCGCCGCGTATGTCGCTCCTTGTTTTTGTGTCCAACTCACTTGCGCGTCTCGCGCGGCAGACTCCTTCGAATGTAACACCGTATCGAGGACAGAATGAGATGGTTCCTTCCGTTGTTACTCCCCTGTGGGAGTATCTCTCTGGGTTGTTTTCCCCAATGTTTGATACGCCTGGTACGACTGGCAGCCCTTGGCCACCACCGCCGATAGTGCAAGGAGCATCAAAATATTGTTGCTGTTTTTAAAAAACGCCATGCACTTCTCCCTGTCATCCAGCGAAGTCTGACGAATGCAATGCAACAAGTAAAGCACATTGCAGGTCGACAGCAGGTAGTATGAATAGTGCATATCAAAGAGGTACCCAGACAAATAAAACAGATACGTCATATTAATAGCTAACAGTTTGGAATACCTCAATGTGTTATCACCCCATTTTATAGCCAGTGATTTTAACTTCAATTTGATGTCGTCCAATTTATCCTGGTGAGCATATATCGTGTCATATATGATAGTCAAATAACACAAAGGGAGAAAACTCACACACAGGGGAAGCAGGTTGGAAGCTAGCTCTATATTTACACTGCAAGCAATTAGAAAGCCAAGGTTAAAGGTGAGTGATAAATAGAGCTGTGCGTAGTAAGTGATTCTCTTCATTAAAGGATAGGAAATAATAAAAGCGGTAGAGAGCAATCCTGTGTAAATGGTTTGAGTACTAAACTGAAACAAGGTTAGGAGAGACAATGCGGAGTGGACCGCTAGGTAGGTAAATGCTCTGCTTGTACTGACTGTGTTATTTGCTAGTGGCCTGTTTTTTGTTCTTTCAACGTGGCGATCATAGTTTCTGTCGAAGAGGTCATTGATTATGCAACCGACGGTACGGCCATTGAGACCTCCAAAGGCAAAGAGGGCGATGTCTCTTCCTATTTTGTATATGCACTGCCAATTGAGTTCATTCCCTGGGGTGAATAGATTCTCCACGGGGAGAGTCATGAAATAGCCATACAGGGCTGAATTGAAGACAAGGTATGTCCCTGTTGGGATATGCAGCCTGCATAGGGCTACATACGCGGTTAGATTTTGCTTTACCTTGTGGGGAAGCGGGAGGGAGTTGAGCCACTGGGGGAAGCATCCAATGCGGTTGTTACATAGATTATTAGAGGGGTAACTTGCTGGGTTGTCCACGTGGCTGCTTCGATCCGCCTTAAGGTTCCCTCCGTGTGATTTTTCACTATCACCGGCACTTACAGAGTAGTAACGATACATCATCATCGGTCTTCCCCCGTTCGAATTGTCATTACGTTGGTTCCTTCCTGTGGGATTCACCCCCGTGGACGCAATGTCAAAAACACTTCTTCCGCTACATGTTTTGGCTGTTTCATTGCACTTTGGGAGAAAACCCGTTTTTTTCCCTTTCCCCCTGTGGAGAACAAACATGGGAGTTACTCTCTTCACAGGAAGGCTCTTCGTCGATGGGAAGCCCTTAGACAGACTGTGCGCTGTAGGCAGAGCCTCCACTCTGGGGCGGGGGCTAAGCCGCTGGCCCCATTTCGGGGTCCCCCTTCTGCTGCGGAGGTGCCCCAAGTTCACATGCATTCCTTATCCTCTTTTCAATCGCTCGAGTGGTTGCTGAAGCTGGCGAAGTTGGCGACATCGATGGTGTTACCATGTTGGCGTGCTTGCAGCGATCGCTGCACTTGTCGCGTCCGTGAGGTCGTCACGCTCGTCACCTCACCGTGTCAACATCTGCTCACACTTGCGCCACGGCGGCCACTGGTTGGGGCTTTCCGCGATCTGATAAAATGTGCGCTTGGTTTGGTTTTCCGTCATGCGGGGGAAGCTGCGTGGGTATTTAAGGCGACATTGTTTGTGGTGACGGCCTGTTGCGTTTGCCGCGCTTCGGGCAGCGCTTTTTTTTTTTTTTTTCGCGTCCCTTTTTTCTCGACGAGGTTTCTCCTTGACGAGCTTTTTCCTCGACGTGCCTTTTCCTCGCCCCAAATTTTTTATTTCTTTTTAATTTTTCCGATAACCCGCGCTCGTCTGTATATCCTTCCCATTTTACGATCGCGTTTCCTTTCCACCTCTTCCCATCTTCGAAGCCACGTGCATCTTAACGCATCGAAGAAGAAATGAACCCCTCCGCCTCGTCACAAACACACACATGATATGCCTTTTTGTGCCTGTGCGCGTGGGCCCGGGCGACATCATAACGTGTAAATCGTTTGTGTGGCGCCGTTGAGGCAACGTAGAGAGGTTGTTGCGCCCACCGACTTGATCGCAGCTTCGTCGCAGCTTCGTTGCAGGCTCGTCTGGCCCTCCTCTGAGCTTCGCCTGAGCTTCTTCGCAGGCTCGCTTCCCATTCTGAGAGGATTCGAGTGGGCTATCCCCCCCCTGTCCGCTGACATGTCTGCCCAAAGTGTCGAGCACAAGTAGATTAGCAGCGGTGCATCGAGAACCAAGCGAGGAAGAAAAAATAACCGCCCAAAGGAATCACGCCAAAGGGAAACGGTGCGCCGCGAAGCTCTTTATCCCAAACAGGTAGAAAAAAGGACAGACAAAATGAAATTTGCTGAGAAGCTAAAACATCTCAAGGTGAAATCGTGGGAAGACAAATACATCGATTATAAGTTTCTGAAAAAAATCATTAAAAGGAAACGAAATGCAGAGATCTGTAGTCTGTATGAACGGATTGAGAAAAATAATAAAGACATTCTGGAGGTGTGTAACTTGCTGACCTCTGATAATGTGGGCGAAAACAGCAAAGATAAAAAAGGAAACAAAAATGACGACATAGAATGTGGAGATATCGATTACACGTATCTCTTTTTCTGGGTGCTACAAAATTATATTAACATGGTTAGGGCACACTACGAACAGGAGTTTAATTACCTTAACGATAAGGTAGACGAGATTAAGGTGTTCCTCATGAGTGATAAGATTAACTTGAAAGACATGGATATGATGAAGACAAAGTGTCTCCACATCTACAACATGTTTGATATTCTAAACAACTATCTCAATATTAACGTTCTTTCCGTTTACAAAATATTGAAGAAAAAAAACAAAAAGGAGAAACTCTCTACTTCGCTCGACTTGTATCAGAAGTACTGCAACACGCTGCACCAGATAAGCCGTGAGGAGCAATTCAATGTACGGAGGAGTTTTTCGTGAGCGGTAGAGCGGTAAAGCCGTAGCTTTGACCATCCCTGCGTAGAATTCAACCTTGTAACTGCCTCCTCCATGTAACTGCCTCCTCCATGTAACTGCTTCCTCCATGTAACGGCTTCCCCCCCTTTTACCGCTCCTCCGCGCAGGAGAAAATCAAGTCGACCTACCTGTCCATCCAGAAGAAACGGGGAGACAATTTCGAAAAGTTGGATTTTTTAAACTTCAAAATTTACCTCAAGAATAAAATCGAGAATATAGGCCAATACAGAGGCATCCTCTACACCCTCTGTGGCATTCTAATCATCCTAGTTATAAACACCATCATTTTATTGTACCTCAATAAGAATAACATAAATGTGAACACAATTTTGTCTATCCTTCCGATTTACAGACTGCTGTACATTTTAAACTTTTTCTTTCTCTTCATTTTTGGCTCCTTCTTGTTCATGCAGCTGTACGGGGTTAACTTCACGTAAGGCATGGGTGGGAAGCATGGTTGGAAGTCGTGCGTATGGGAGGCAACGGTGGCACCTCTGTGGGTGGCACCTCTGTGGGTGGCACCTCTGTGCGTGGCTCCTCTGTGGGTGGCTCCTCTGTGGGTGGCTCCTCTACGTGCTTCCCATCTACGTGCTGCTTCTCCACGGGCTGCTCCTCGTCTTCTCCCCGCAGGTACATCCTCGACCTGAACAAGATCATCGTGGACGAATACTACTACCTGATAAACGTCGTGATTTTTCTCCTTTTCCTGACGACGCTCTCACTGCTCGTCTTCCTACTGGACGTTCTCTTCAAGCTAAATATCTTCTCCAATATCATTTTCCACGTTGTCATCCTTTTTATTCTCCTTTTCTGTACCACCATTTTTCCCATTAATTTTTACAAGTACAAGGAGACCAATTTTGTTTTCTCCTCCCTTGTGCGAGTTGTGTCCAGCGGGTAAGTGGAAGTCCTCGGAGTAGTAACATGGATTGTTCAAATGGAGGAGCGCAATCATGTGTCTCTCTTTCTGCTTCATCATTGGGTCTACTTCTTTCCCGCTCTCAAAGTATTTTCCTGGTCAACAGCATAAACCTGCTAGACAACATCATCGGAGACATCCTCACGAGCCTGTCGAAGACCTTCTCAGATGTTCAGTACTTCGTCTGCTTTCTGCTGTAAGTGGGGCGAAGTGATGCAGCGCTGCAGTAGCGGTGTCTGTGGTGCAGTGGTGTGGTGCATGGGTGAGGAGCCCACTTAACCTCTTTCCCTCCTCGTGTGCTTCTATCTGTGTGCCATTCCTGTTTATGACTCATCACCCACCCACTATTTTGCGTCCATTTTTTATGCCCCTTTTGACACCCCCTTTTTCTTCCCTCCTTTTTGCAGAAACGGAATGAAAACAAATGCGCCTGCGAAGTGTCCAAGTATGTGGAGCTGCACAAAGGGCGGCATATTACCTTTGTTTCACTGTCCATTTGGTCGTCCCATTTGACTGCCCACTTGGTCATCCGCCTGACCGTCCACCCACTTCTACCCCACCACGCAGTCATGGAAGGCTACATCAACCCCGTCCTCGTGGGGCTCCCCTTTTATTTCCGCTTCTGTCAATGTTTAATCAGGTGCACAAACTGGGCTAGCATCAATGGAAGCAGCGCCGGATGCAACATTGGAAGCGGGATTCGAGCAGCAGCTGTTCCGCGGAACATGTCCATGTGGCTCCCCTGCACCGTCCCCCATTCGGCTAGCCCTCCATGTGGATCCACTTTTTCCCTCCTTCGCAGATACAACAACGAGAGAGAAAAGATTCATATTTTTAACATGCTTAAGTACTTGTCCGGAATAGCCATCGTGATATGCACCTCCTTTAACTGGTCAGTGTGCAAGTCGCTGTGCGGGCAACCTGCGCGTGGGCGTCGCATCCACATGGTCGCCTCGTATCCACGTACCCCCCTTGCACTTTCACTCTGACCGCTTACCCACCTTCACATTGACCACTTACCCACACAGGGCCTACCTAGGGTTGGGCACGAAAACGAGCAAAATTATCCTCATCTGCGCCTACGTCGTGGGATCCACGTACATGTATTTTTGGGACTTGTACTGTGATTGGGGGCTCCTCAAGGAGTACAATTATTTGTTAAGGTGAGAGCGAGCCACGAGAGTTTTAGTTGAATCCCGGGTGGAGTGTCTCCTCCCTGATGAAATGAAAGAGGAACAACAAAGCGACGTTTGACAGCTTTTTTTTTTTTTTTTTTTCACATTTCCCCTTTACAGGAAAAACAACAATTTGATGTACCCCCCGCATTACTACTACTTTGCCGGATTGCTAAATTTGGTTAGCACCGCCGCGACGCCGTCTGCACATGGACGTCACGTGGGGCACCCAGGATGAGGAGTGTGCCCCGTCGATCGCTTCGCCAACGCTGCGCTGTTTTCCCTTCACCATTGTCCTATTTCGGCATTGTCCTATTTCGGCATTGTCCTATTTCGGCACTATCCTATTTCGGCACAGTCCCATTTGACCATTTTGCCATTTCACCACCCTCCGCGCAGGTCTTCAGGCTGACGTGGGCCATCACCCTCATGCCGATTACCATCTTCCCGAATAAGGTATCGCCGCGCAAGGGGCAAAGAAAGGAAAAAAAAAAAAAGAAAGGAAGGAAGAAAAGAAGAGAAACGTGAACAGAGTGCAATCCCACTCGAAAACATTTACACTCCCCCCCGCAGGAAATAAACGCTTTCCTAATAACCTTCGTTTTGATGTTCATCGAAGTCCTGAGGCGATCAATAGTAGGCAGACTGAGCGGGCGCGTCGTATGTGCCTGCACAGGCGTATATATGTATATAAATATATGACACGAACCGATTGCAGGCGCCGGCCAACATCACCTGTTCCCACGTTCACCCCCCCGCAGTGGATCTGCTTCCGCCTGGAGAACGAGCATGTGACAAACGCGTCCAGATACAGATCCATACTATGGGTAAGGCCCCAACGGGTCAAAAGAGGAAAAGGAAAAAAAGGACAGCCCAATGGGCGACGCGGTTTCTGTTTCGATTGCGGCGTGTAGATCGGTGTTTTTGACGTGCTGGTAACCCCCTTCATCACGGTTCTGTCTGCGCCGTCCCCGCAGGTGCCAAAAGTGACGAAGAAGAAGAAGTTTTGAGGCTCTCACTCCGTTGCTTGGCCTAATTTTCCGCGTTCATTTGCATTTTACTTAGCCTTCCTTTCGCCTTTTCTTCGCGGTTTTTTGGCGGTTTTTTCGCCATCTTTTCGCCGTTTTTTCCTCCCTTTTTTTGCCGTTTTTTCCCACTTTTTTTCCCCCCCCGTCAACACTTGACGGTTGTTTTGTCTGTCTCACTGGCTGCACCCTTAGCGGGTCTTCTACTTAATCGTCCCCGCGTACCTTTTTTCGCCTTTTTTTTCTTCGTTTCATTTTGGAGAACATTCCAAATTGTAACTGCTAAAACAGCAGGGGTTTCTTTTTTTTAAGACATTGGGTTAAATCGCCACGTTGATTTGGGAGATGTGCAAATGGGACGAGTACGCGAATCTGTAACAAAATGGGACAGCAAATGAGGCAACAAATGGGAAAACAAATGGGACAAATACGGGTGAAGCGCATGGGAATGCTAAAATTACGCAGGGAAGTATCCCCCCACGGCGTCGATGAAGGCCCGCACATTTTCGACTCTCGAGCCGGGCAGCATCCCGTGGCCCAAGTTGGCAATGTACTTGTTGGTGCGCCTAATTTGATTAATCATCGCAGATGTATACTGCGACACGAGCTTCTCATCGTTTAGGAGCATTATGTGTGGGTCCAGAGCCCCCTGCAGGATAATCTTCCCGTTAAATAGGTCGTAATAAAAACTGGAGGTTTTCGAAGCTAGCTGTTTATGTGTTATGGAAAGGACATCAATATTGAGGTGTTTCAAATCTGGATGGAAATTCTCCTTCAAAAATAAAATGATGAATGCATGTGGTCTGAATTTCTTCACTGTGTCGATAACTCTCTTTAAATAAGACAAACTAAATTGAGAAAACATATTTGTGTCTATGATATCCGCATTGCTATCGAAGAGCTGCACAGCATTTGCCCCACTGTCAATCTGGTTAATGAGGTGACTTACACACACCTCAGTTAACTTACTCAGAATCTTATGAACATCCCCCGGACGTTCATAGACCATCCGAATGCTGTCTTCATATGTCCTCTTGTTGTTTTTCGTTAAGTACGTAAAGAGAGTAAATGGTGATCCCGCGAATCCTAAAATTGGAACTGCATTGTTTATTTTCTTCTTCGTCAAACTGATGGCATCATACACATAGTGCATATTGTTTATAATTTCCTCTAGTGACAAGGTTAGCCCTTGGAACTGCTCAAAGGAGGTAACCGTCTGTTCGAATGTAGGTCCAACACTGTCAATAAATTTTATCTTCATCCCCATGGCCACAAAAATGATGAGTATGTCGGAGAATATTACAAGCATGTCACATGAGAATCGCTTGAGGGGCATGATGGTCACTTGGGAGGAGAGTTCTGGGTTCTGGCACATCTCGAAGAAGTCGTTTCTGCTTCTCATTTGGCGGTACTCCGGAAGGTAGCGGCCAGCCTGCCGCATAAACCACACGGGGATCCTCTCCAGCGTCTTTCCCTCCTCTTTATTCTCGATGACTCTCAGCACCAGGTCGTTCTTCGGCCGCCCGAACGCTGCGTGGGTGGGGGGCGTAATCGGAAGGGTCATTAGAAGCGTGATTAGAAGCGTGATTAGAGGCGTGATTAGAGGCGGTAGTAAGAAACGCTGACAGGAAGGGGTTACTACTGATGAGACGCGATTCCTATCGGTCAACATCCGGGAGAGCACAACCCCCAGCGCGCTGCTGAGCCGGCTATACCTTGGTAATTGGCATTCTCCGGTCGCACGAACACCTCCATCTGGTCCGCGTCGCCGCTCACATCTTTGGGCTCCATCCTGAACAAGCCGAACGGGGCTTCTCTATTATGCATGGAAAAGGCAACGTCACGCAGGAAGAACGGACCCAGGCTACACACCACGTTTGTTCTCATATTAGGGCACACTCGACGACGATTTACCAGCACAGGTCAGACTAGGTCGGTAACTCTCAGAGGAGGAGGAGGAGACACGACGCCCTTCTAATGCTTTTACAATGATACAACATCAATATACACTTACGTTTTGTTCGTGGTGCACATGGGGGGCATGAAACAGGGGGGATTATTTGAGCAGACGAGGAGGAACTGGAAAAAGAGGGGAACAAACAGGGGAGCCACCAAGTGGGGAGGGAAAAAAAAAATATATGTAGAATTCTATCAACTAGGAAAAAAAAAAAAAAAAAAGAACACCTCCGCGTGAGTGTCCCTGCAACGAGCACTCATCCCCCCCCACCCACTACGCCACTTTGCCACTTTCCGAAACAGAAAATATTTTACACAGCGTAGCTTTTACACGGCGTAGCTTTTCACGGCGTAACTTTTACACCGTGTTATTTCCCTTTTATGTAGCGTCCCTTCCATTCCGCGCGGGCACTTTTAGCATGCCAACTTTACCATTGAGCAAACGGAAAAGCACAAACACGAGTGCATTTTTTTTTTTATTCACTCACTATAGTCTCAATTGTTACGACTTCCCACTTGTTAGAGGTCCCTACACGTTGCCACTTCTCCTTTTATCCCTTGCGCGAAGAGAAGTAAATGACTCACATGAGAAGAATCCTGCATGTATACGAGTAAATATGTGCATAATCTGGTCGTCACATGTGTACGCATGAGCGTCTTGAGGGGGGCATGCTCGGGTAAGGTACAAGCCTCTGCCGCCGTTTACACTGCCTTGCGGCGCTAACTTGACGGCCTCCGTGGCAGTTCCCCTGTCCCGCCATTGCACAGCTTTGCAGTGCCCAGGAATGGTGCTCGTCTGGGGCGGGCAGAAATGAATTTAGGGCAAATCGGCGAAGCCGAGGGGAAGAAGAGGAGGAAAAGGAGACGCAGAACAGACGCAGAATAGGTGGAAGATCGAATCGTGATAACTCGAAGGAAACACGACTCCGGTCAGTATCCAGGGGGATAACACATCCAGCGGGATTGGTACCACGCGGCTTCAGTTGCACGAAACAGAAATTGATCAAAGGAGAACGCTAGACAGTGCAGGAAAAATGAATGCAGACGCGAGCAACACGAGTGGCAGCGGTGAGAAAGACCAGCTTGGCCTCCTCTTTAAGGAGTGCCCGGAAAACGTGCCCCCCAGGGTACACACTCGCATGGTTATTTCGCAGGGGATTTTTTTATCCTTTCTTTATTTCTCCATATTTTATTATTTTATTTTATTCCATTTTCTTTCCTTTCTCAGCGAACTACATCGAGCTGGGTGCGTCCGAAACGACGCTGTACAGGTACCTCACGACGGTGCTGCACCTCGTGCTGCTAGCGAGCATACTAGGCCTGGTGACTATGGGCATATACTTCCTTCGAACCCCCTGCGAGCAATGCGATTACTACAACCGAGTGGTGGCGATAGCTATATGGATTAAAAGTATCTGTCACGTGAATTTAACACTCGTGAGAGTAAAGAAGCGAGACGAAATAGAGAACAACGAACAGCTGAGAAGTCTGGTGATATATTTAATCAAGCTATTTAACTCCTTAACCTTCCTCCTATTGTTGTTGTCTCTTCACCTGCTCCATTTTTATCGAAACAAATGCACCTTTAGCACTGTGGCTTTGAAGTTCATAAAACTTTATTACTATCTCACGATCACTTTGTACTTCCTACCCCTCCTGTTTTATATTTCCCTGGGATTATTCTTGTCCATAATTATTTGTGTCATAGTTAACTTCTCCGTTGATGAAAACGATCGCATTCCGACGCCAAAAAATGTGATAAGTAAATTGACCGTCTTAAAGTACAGCGATATAGACTTTGTGCGTACTGCACAGAATGAACAGAAAAAAAAAAAAAAAAAAAAAAAATTAAGAAAACCATCATTTGAAGTTATATTTGATAAGGTGAAGAGGGTCATGCAGAGGAAGGGAAATACAGAGGAGGAGAAGAAGAGAAAAAAAAAACTTCCAGACTCTTTGACTGTGAAAAATGCATCCCCCCTTGTTGATGACCACTTGAGGGAGATGTTAAATCCTCTTAAGAGGAGTAATGACCCAAATAAGGATTATCACTTTTCCAATGAAGGGTCCCCGGGGAAAGTGCCCAGCCCTGGCTCGGAGGACGCATCGAATGGGGTACACAGTTGGCAGCATGGGGGGGAGAATGATCAGCAGGATCATCACGAGAATGATCACGATGATCATCACGAGGACGATGAGGAGATCTGCTCCATATGCATGATGAACTACGTGCGCAGCGATGACGTCATGATGATGCCGTGCGACAAGAGGCACTTCTTCCACGTGGGCTGTCTTACCAAGTGGCTGTACAAAAGCCAAGCGTGCCCCATCTGCAGGACCAACATTGTCAGCTGTCTCAACGCGCGGGGTGAAGTCGTTTGAGTGGCGTGGTCATCAGCCAGTGAGAAAATGCCACGCCCAAAGTTGTTTCGTTTTTTTTTTTTTTTTTTTTATCATTCCTTTTGTGATGAAATAGTTGTGTGACAAGTTAATCGCTTCTACGCGGTTTTTGGCAAATATATACTACCCACAACATGTGTGTATGGTTGTTCCCATTTTTTTTTCTTCTTACCCGCCGGGGGAGGGGAAAAAGAACCAAGTAGACACCGTTAAGGTGAAGGAGAGATGGCTGAACAGAAGATCCACTAAAACATATGCAGCCGCCTCTCCCCCCCACATACGCAGACACAAGCAGACACACCTTTTTGTGGCCTCCCTTTTTGATTCATCCGGTGCGCAGTTGGACGTAGTGGGTCCCCCCACCGCAGCGTTCTTCCTTCGCCAATATTGACGCACCTTCCATCATGTTTGCATTGTCTTGTCTGTGACTGTTCACGTAAGAACCAACACCGACTATGCCTCTGCGCCACCTCTTATTGTTTTCGTCAAATTGAAGGCTCATGTTATGTCACGTATGAGCAGACCTCTCTGTGGTGAAACCAGTCCTTCATCTGCGCCGAGGCACGGGCGGGGCAGGGCGGAAATAAGGGGGGGGTAAAGGGGAGATACATAGCGAAAAAAAGCGAGATAGACGGGGACCAAAAGGTTAGATGGACGAGGACGAAATATTTGTGCGTCATTATTTTGCACAAAGTCGCCAACTTGCTCGTGGAAGAAACCCACCTGACACTCCTTCGAGCAGTAGTACGCCCGTTTGCACTGCGAGCATTGTAGTTCAGCCTGAAAGTGGGGAGGGAATGGCGGCGCGGAAATGGAGACGGGGAAATGGCGGAAGGAGATGGGCCCTTTTTCCATGCACAGGATTTCTTTCCCTTTGTTTTGTTAATTACAATCTGCTTGCAACTGTCGCAGAGGAAAGACTCCTCCTTTGCTTCACCCTCTGCTTCGCCCTGTCTGTATTCCCGGCCCTTTTCATCACTCGAGTGAGGACCGCCTTGGGTGTCTGAAATTGGGTTGGGAAGTGAAAGCGAGGGGGTAGTGTCGGGCAGCTGCTACACGTTTTTCGGCGTGCCTGGGGTACGTCCCTGTTTTGCGGCGTTTCCCTCCTTTGGAGTGTTACCCCTCTTTGTGCCCTTCCCAGTCTGTTGGTCAAATTCATACACGGAGAGGTACATATCAGAAATGCTGCCCAAGAGGTCCCTCTCGATGTTGACGCTGCTCAGGAGGGATGCTAATCTCCTTTTGTTCTTCATCACGTCATCTTTGATTTCGTCAAAAATTTCCGGCACCTGCACGGAGTGAAGAGGGGAGGGCCGATGCAGCGACGATGAAGTGGCGATGAGGTGGCGATGAGTTGGCAGGCCTTATTTTTTTGTTAAGGATGATTCGCCATTTTTTCTTTCCCCTTTTTCATTCTCTTTTTTTTTTTCTTTTGCGGGAATGACTCACCACGTCGATGATCAGGTAGGAGTTCTTGTTTTCCGGGAAGATGCTCTTGGAAATGTACAAGTGCTGCAGGGGGTGGGGAGGGGATGGCCTCGCAGTTTGGTCGGTTCGTTTAGCGGTTAGTTTGTCTAGCGGTTAGTTCTATAGATGGCCTATTTGTCTTCCTCTCTTGCGTGGCTACTCTTCCCGCTTTACCTCGATGAACGTGTGCAGCGTCTTCATTGGAGGAATCTGCTCGTGCAGGGGCTCGTTCATGTACTTCCGGAGCTGAGCGGCGGGGGGGAAGCGACGGGACGGAAACGGTGGGATGGACGCGATGTAGCAAACGAAACAGGACTAACGCACACCAAAAGGATGCAAACACAAACGATGCACACCCCCTCTGTGTACCTTCAAAATGTTGTTTCTCCTATAGTTGGTCATTTCGTACCTGTGAGGAGTGCAAAGAGTGGAAGAACAATTAATGTCAACAGACGTCATTGTCGCATAAGCCCCATTCCAGTTTGGACCTCCTTCCCTCAGAGTGATTTTCTTTTCTTGTTTCTTTTTTACTTTTCCTGACAGTTCCTAGTCAATATCAGTGTGTACAGTATCAGCCACAGCTTTGGGGAGGGGGTAGACGCCGTGTGTAGTTCAGTGTAGAAGATATGTTTGCCATATGAAGGTGGAAATGAAAAGAAGAAGAAAAAGAAAGAACAAGAATACACTTCCTTATCCGCGCTGCTTCTTTTTCGTTGCCTCTACCTGTTTCTCAATCGTACATAAGGTGCTGCCTTCCCGTTTTACCCACCTGCGTGTGTGTGTGTAAATGTGGGTGTCAACGTGAAAGTGAACGGTGTATGGGGGGTAACCAAAAAGGGGTGTCCATTACTGACACGTGCATGGCCATATGGACGTGTACTGATCAGTGCGCTTAAGCTTATCGGCGCTGCAGAGCAAATTATACTCATTTCCTTCAAACACGTAGTTGTCGTGCGCCCACGGTCTCTTCTCCAGGAGAGGAATTAAAATTAGCAAAATGTCTGAGGATGGGAAAAAAGGGTGGAAAGGCATCCTGTATTTTGTTCCCCTTCGAGACAGCATCGTGAGGGAAAAGGTTCCCTCGAAAGAAGCGAAAGAGAATGCTCTGCTTCTTCCCCACTCCCCTAACCGTAGTCCACTAGCTTATTGATGACTGTGTTGTTTAGCAGATGAATCCTGTCCGTTATGTTCCGTAGGGCGTTGATAACGCTGATGTATATTTTCAGCTTATCCATGCTTTGCGACTTATCGTTTTCTTCCTTCAGCATCTGCAGCAGGAGGGAGAAACCCATACATTGATGCGCAGAGGGATCACAGAAATGAGGCTCCACTTGTGTGCTCCTCCTGGTTACCTCGCTTATGGACATCTCGCTTATGGGCTTGACAAAGTACTCCTCCGAATTGCTAAGCGGGGGAAAGAATAAAACAAAATAAAAAATAAAATAAAAAAAAATTTAAATAAAAAAATAAAAGTTTAACCCATACATTGAAAGAGTGTCCACTCCGCTGCGACCTTCTGGTCGATACTGACGGCCGAGCGCTTCGCCCATCTCCTACCTCTTGAGGAAGGCTACCAAATTGGAGTAAATATACGCAAAGAGGTTTATCATGTGGCTGTCTATTTTGTCATATGCGTGATCTGCACATAGGACCCTCTCGAAGATGTTCAGTAATGTCACTTCGTGGTACAGCTGGGGATGGAGGGGGCGAGTTGGTTAAGTGGAAAGAGGGCCTTGCTTCAGTGGGGAAGCGGTGGTTACCGGGAGAAGTTCTCCCTATGGGCATGTCCATATGAGTGTTGTAGAGCCATACCGATATGTAACTGGAAATGCGGCTCTGCGCAGTTGTGTCATCCCCGTTTTTTGCACCTCCGCTGGAAGTCTGCAGTTCGCTTCCCCCCACTTCTTGTGGCAATAATTTGTCTTTACTACATTTTGTTAGTTCTTCCGAGTGGAGAAATCGAACGAAGTAGGTGGTGATTAGTTCCCTAAGGAGTGTTTCAAACTTTGCAAGGGGGGTAGAGGGGATGAAGTGTGCAGAACGAAGGAGTCCTTCCCATGTGGGGGTACAAATATACATATGTGTGCATAGCAGTATTCCCCACTTCATCACAGAGAAGATGATCAAGTGATAAACTGGCCAAGTGCTCAGACGGTCTCTCCTAGTACCTTCCCCAGGAGGGCGTCCATCCGTTCGTCCCCGATGGTGTCCATTATGTCACTGTTGCCGTGGAGGTAGAGGTTTATCGAGACGAGTCTCTTGTGGCAGTCAAACCATCTAAAGGGAAGACATCGAGGTAGAAGCTGGTTTGAAAAAAGGGGGCATTCCCAAGCGGGGTTGGGCACGATCGTTTCGCGAGCCCTCCAGTACGTCGCCATGTTGTCTTGTGTTTCTCCATGCTTCGCGTCACGTGCGACTTTATTCCTTATGTTTTGGATTTTTTCTTCTCTTTTTTTTTTTTCTTTCTCTTTTTTTTTCTTTTTTTTTCTCTTTTTTTTCTCTCTCTTTCTTTCATACCCCTTGGAATATATGTCTAGGACCCCCCCACTCCGAAGACCACCCACATGAGTGAAGAAGTCCACATCCGTAATATCCATTTCGGCCCAAGTTCAAGTTTGGTTGAATTGCTTTCTGTGCAAGTTTGCTGGAGGTGTTAATGACTGCATTAAGGAAAAAATGTCGCATACTTTTTGGATTCACGGTATGAGGTTAGCACCACGTGGGGGTGTTCATGTGGCGGTCAAGTTGGGTAGTCAAATCGGAGGGTCCTTCAAAATGGGAACCTTCCTTTTGGCCGAAATGTGTGCACGCACACGGGGGGAAATATTCTCTAGCTGGGAGCCAACCGCTTTAACGGGGGCAATCTTAAATTTGTGCACTGCGCTACGGAATTCCCCATGTGGCTTTTCCTATTATGCTCCTCCAAATGCTGTCCACCCTTATGAGTATGCGCTTGCGGAGAACGCCACCTCGAGGACAGCCACAATAGAGACCGCTTCGCCTCTTTGTGTGTAAAGAGAGCTAGCTGGACTGCCTCAGCGAACCGCGCAGCAAATATAACATAGGAACCTGTATCACGCCAGGGGGCATCGATTATTTTTTCCTGCAAAAAAATTTGCTGCCACTGTTTTGGGCCACCCTCTCATTTTAAACCCGCGAGAGTACGTTTTATTTTTACGCAATGATATGCCGGAACAGTGAAGCTCATTAGAGCAGTCTTACTCGTTTTTAACATCGTCGCCATTTTGTAGAAATTTTTCGCGTGGTGTCCTTTGGTACACAATTCGTCTATTTGCTAGTCCCTGCAAGATTTTTTTTTTTTTCTCCCATTTACCATTTGAACTGTTTTACCTGACCTCTTCAGGCAAAAAGAAAAAAAAAAAAAACAGACAAACAGACAGGCAAACAGATAGGCAGAAAGACAGGCAGACAGGACGGAGAACCTTGTAAGGAATGCCAAAAGAGGGGGCGTTTCTACCATTCCCCATTTAAAAAAAAAAAAAAAAGCAAGTTGGTAAATGCAATTGAGTACGCTTAAACCATTGCAACGTTCGGTGTGCCATCCCTCTGTTGAGAAAATTTCGAAGGGCCTACGATCCTTTTTGTGCATTTTTCGAGTGAATCCTCCAAAGGGCGACCCACCTTTTTTTGATTAAAAATGCCAATTTAAAAATTTCAAATGTTGACTTTTTCCGTTTTAATAATGATACAATGACACAACCATGCAGCGGCGCACGTAGGTACCGACGCAAATGAATACAGCACATATGGTAACGTTTCAAATATGCCTTTTTTTGGAGGTGATAAAAAGGAAGGTAAGGCAGTTGTGCGTGTTCGGGGGGGAAGCACGTGCAGCGCTGCGCTGAAAGAGGAGAAAGGCTGCTTGCAGACGGAGAAAACGCAAGGGGTGCACACATGTTTGAGCGCATGCATGGGCACACGTACCGACGCACAGATACGCGGACGCACGTGGCCAATTATATGGCGATGGGGGAGAGCTGGGAAGAGGCGGTAAAGGTTTTGGGACAACCTGGGGCCACGATTGCCTTTTAAGTAGCCCCCCGTAGGTGTGCTCCGTCCGCGTGGTTGATTATTCTTTTCAAATTTAACGACTGGGAGGTGCCGATTTGGGGTGAGAAAGTTCGAGCGTGTATCCTTTTCTACTCTACTTCTCCCCTCGGGGGGTGCGAACGAAGCGACCACGTCGAAGAAACCACACGACAGGTGTAACCCGACATGTCTAACCCGATGCGTGTAACCCCATGCGTGTGACCCATTAAAAGACGTACCGTACACCGGGCGGACGTGCGCGCTGCCCCGCGCCCGTGGGTCAGATAATGTTAAAGATCTTCTTGAGCTGCACGACGAGTCTCCAGTCCTCCATGGTCAACTCGCTCCTAAAGTACTCCTTCAACACGTCAATGCTCTCTCTGGTAATTTTGCTGTAAATTTTTTGGTTAAAGTCAAAGTGTCTTCCGAAGGTGATGTGTGGTTCTCCACAGATCTTAATGGAGACTTCGTCCCCCTTTTTGGCTTTCTCACATGTTTTTTTGTTCAATAGAATACTAACGACGTTTCCAATTTTTAGGCTCTTCTCAGGGATGTAAAGTGGGGTGCCAATTTTCAAGATACCACAATCTACCTTAACCCCAATGACAATGGGATCCTTTTTATTAAACACACAGTCGTTGACAATAGAGAGTTCACAGGGAAAAATGGCATCCGTCAATTTGCTCTGTTTTTTCTCTTCCTCAATTTTTTTAATATAATTTGTAAAAGCATCAAACAAGTGATAAATAATGTCCCTCTGCATGATTTCCACTCCTAAGATCTGTGCTTCCTTTTCTGCTTCGGGATCGATTTTAACATCAAAGGCTAGGATGACAGAATATTCAGGCTTCCCTTTTTCCCTCATGACGCTAGCTTTCTTCACGTCTTTCTTTTGGACTGTGCCGATATTGACTGCAAAAACGGGGATCTTTGAATCTTTTAAAAATATGAGTAGTGCTTCTAACGAGCCAAGAGTGCTAGCCATAACGTAGAGACCTACTCCACTTTTATCGACATGATTGAACACGTCCGAAACATCTGTCATGGCTTTGCTTTTGTAGTCCTCCACTTCGTCCGTGTTGTTGGCAACGAATAGGGAAGTACCACAGAGGACCTCTTCCAACCCGTTGGCAGAGATTTTCACTCCAATGCATGCCTTAATCGATTTGTGATGCACATATTCGTTTTTTATTCTTATCTCTTTTAACGGCTGTGGTGTTAACAAAGCTCTTATAACTGTGACAATGGGTCCGTTGATACCACACAGGACGATGGTATCAGATTCTTTGAGGACCCCATTCGTGAGAATTACATCGATGGTTGTTCCTAGCCCTTCAATGTTCTTTACTTCCAAAACGGTGCACTCTAATTTCTCATGATATTCAATATTTTTAAGCATAAAATTCTGTGTCAGTTTTACTAAAATCATAATCAGGTCGGCAATTCCTTCCCCAGTTATTGCACTAGTGGGTACGATGGATACATACTTGCGAGGGTTGGGATTTTCCCAGTAGAGGTGACAATTCAATCCTTGTTCGGCTAGCTCATTAAGAATGTTTTTTAGCCTATCCTGAAACTCCTCTTGTGTGTTTTCTTTTTGATTTTTAAAAGTGGAATTAAATGGAGACCAGTCATTTCGGTTCCACATGTAGAGCCTATCAATTTTGTTCAATGCAATAACGAAGGGGCAATTTCTTTGCTTTAAAATTTGAATAGACTCTTTCGTTTGTTGTTCTAATCCGTGCATTAAATCGATTACTAAAATGGCTATATCGCAAAGGGAAGAGCCTCTTTTCCTTAGATTGTAAAATGACTCGTGCCCCGGGGTGTCAATAATCATAATTCCTTTCGACATGCACTTGATGCTTTCATCTACTTTTTTTATTTCCTTATCTAGGATATCCTTTGGGAAGAAGGTCGCTCCGATTTGCTGCGTAATTCCTCCCGCCTCGTTATCCTGTACATTTGTATGTCGCAGTTTGTCTAGTAGTTTCGTTTTTCCCGTGTCGACATGACCCAATATGCACACAATGGCTGATCGGTACTCACTCTCATGGTCTGAGTCGTCATCCTGGGCATTGTTGTTTTTCTCGTTACCGTTGCTTTTGCTAGCATCTGTTTTTTTTTTTCCTTTCTTGGTGCTGAGTGCGTCCCCCTTTGTGCCTTTTTTCCCTTGTGACTGCTTTGCCTCCTTCGATTTGTTCCTTTCCCTGTCGGTCTTCTCATTACCCTGCTGTTCATTGGGTTCTTTTTCCTTCTTTTTCTCTTCATCCACGTTGAGGAAGTCCTCCCAGTCGTCCACGACAATTTCCTTCGGGTCGACTTTCTTTTCCGCGTCATCTGGTTTGTTCCCCTTGGGTGTAGTACCTCCCGTCTCCTCCGCGTTGTTATTCAAATTGGCCATCCCGCTCGTGTGGGCATTCGTTTTGTTCTTTTTCTTCTTTAGGAAAGCCTTCGTTTTGTTCAGGTCGATGTTGATAATCTCCGCTTTGGCCTTTTCCTTCGGTTCGATCAGCACCCCGGACTCTTTCAGCGTTTTCAAATACAATTCTTTTTTTTTTTTTTCTTCCTTGGCCTTTGCACTTAACAATTTCCCATCTTTTTTTAACTGCATTTTTTTTTCCAATTTAGCTAGTCGTTTTTTTTCCCTCTCTTCCTCCTCCTTTCTAATTCTTTCTTCTTCCTCTTCTTGTTTTCTCTTTTCCTCTTCCCTTTTTTTTTCTTCGTATTCTTTTAGTAGTCTGAGTCTTTCCGCGGCTGCCTTGGCCATTTCGGACATCCCTGACGTGCCTTTTTGTTCCTTCGTTTTCTCCTTGTCCTTTTTTTTCTTTTTTTTGTTCTTTTTCGCGGCGTCATCGGCAGCTTCATTGGCAGCATCGTTGGCAGCGTCGTTGGCTGCATCGGCGGGCTGCTCGGCCGTTCCCTTCTTCGCCTCTGCTTCTTCTCCCTCCTCGTCATTTTCCTTGCTCTTCATTTGCTCTTTTTTCTGCTTCTGCTTTTCCTTTTTCTTTTTCGACTTGGACATTTTGATCGCTTCGTTTTGCTCTTCCCCAGCAGGGGTAGCTCCACCGCCTGCTCCTGCTCCGGCTCCTGCTCCTACTTCTGCGCCCGCTTCTCCATTTTCCTTCTGGTCCTTTACTTCATCTTCCCGCTTCCCGTCAAAGCCGAATTCAGCGAGGATCGCATCCAAGTCGTCCTTCTTCTTCCCCTTTTTATTTTTGCTCATTTTGGGAAGAACCGTAGCGGAGCCAAGTGGAAAACAGCCGTGCGGCGAGGTTGTGTGCGTATGTATGTGTGTAAGTATATGCGTAAGTATATGTGTAAGTATATGTGTATGTCTGGTCGGGGCAATGCGCGTTTTTCACAGGTACAGTCCACTGTACAATGCGGGGTCGTATTATCCTATATATATTCGCACCTCCGTCAGAACTTCACGTTTTGCACGAAAATGATATCTCCGATAAGGTTCAAATTTCGTGGGAAACGTGTCAACGGTTGGGCTGCTGCGCAGGTATGCATATTTGGCCGTGGCTTCTGGTCTCCTCAAATACATTCGCATCGGTGTTGCCCTGGCGTTGGAGGAGCCTTGGTGGGTGGGGGTGAATTCTTCGTTTGGGAAGTCCACTTAGAAGTGCCTTTCGTTGCACCTACTTCTTTTTTATCGCTTCCCTTCCTCGTCTTTTCGCTCTTCCCTAGTCGGTGAGAAAACTTTCATTCTCCTTCTTTGAGTGCTGAATCGCAAACTTTGCAGTTGCGAGGTTGCGATAGCTGCTCCTGCGCATCTGGGGGAATAACATCTCCGCGGGATTCTATGCGCACAGATTGGGGTTTCCCCTGCCGAAGCTTCTTTCCCAAGGAGGCTCCAGCGACGGTAGCTTCCACGGAAGAGAATTCAACAACGGTTGCTTCTGCTGCACTTTTAACCTTTTGAATTGCTGTGGAAGTTTCCAGTGGAGGGGGAACTTTTCTGCCTGTTCAGGGTTTACGGTGGCCCACTTTGGCCATTTGCCGGCTCACCTCGCCCATTACTAGAAAGAAGGCTTCGGAAGGATTCGATAACGATGACTCAAGTTTTGCCTTCCCTCAATTTAACTGTTTGGTTAGTTAAATTTGCATTTTTCTCTTTTCTTTTTTTTTTTTTTTGCGTTGTGAATTTCCTTCCGTTTCGTAGTTTACAGAAAGTTGGAGTGAAAAAAAAAAGTGACTCGCGAAACTAAAGTGCCGCTTTATGATCTGCTCTCTACCGCTCTGTGTTCTTCACTCTTCCGCCTTTCCTCTTGAAATGCATTTTTCTGGCAGCCGCGAGCGCCCCTTTATTTAATTTTTCCTATCACCTCGGTGTACCAGCAGGGGGGGGATGGATGGCCCCGCATATTCCATGCGTATGCAAACGACAGCGCGAACGGCAGCGCAAGTGCCTACGCAAAGGCCTACGAGGAATACACGTGTAACTGACTGGATGGCAGCATACGTGCAAGAGAGTTAACGCTACACTTTTTTATCTTCTTTTTTTGTTTCCCAATTGGGATTTTTTTTTTCTTTTTTTTCTGTTTTTAATTTCACTGGAACGTAGCATACGGGAAGATCTATTTAAGAAAGTCACCACTACATAAAAGGGCGAAAATAATTTTGGCGCCGACTGGGAAAGGCTGTTCTCCTCACGCATGGGCTACTGCTGATCGGTTTGGAACTCCATTGGATCGCGCGTATTTACAAACACTGTTCGGTGTAGTTTTACTGGCTTATCATATGTAGCATGGCTTACCCATGTGTGTGCGTGTTTGTTATGCCTTCCTCTAGATGGCGTTAAGGAAAAGGTAGTGAATTAGTTGCTTCCCTAAGTTAGGCCATTCGAATCGAATTCATCCTTTATTCCAAATGAAGCAGAACAGGAGCACAGACTGGGAAACAAGTGATGACTGTTCTTTTTCCTTTTTTTCTTTTTTTTTTTTCTCTGTCTGTTACATCTCCCAAAGAGGAAATGGGTCAAAACAGGAAGAAACACAAAAATTGCGCCACCGTTTTGCAATGAACATTGTGCTGCACAGAATGGGGATGCATAACATGCAGCCGGACCTTTTCCTTTTGGACCGAAAAGAGCGTTTATCTGTATGCACCTGTTCTTTTAGGAAGCACTTATAGGGGCTCACTCCGACGTGGAGGTGTCGATGCTGCATTATTTGCCAATGAGCCTCTGTCCGGTCATCCCCTTTTCCATTTCTTATCGTGGTCACCTTCGCAGGTGAGCATTAGCTCACGTGGGGTTACTTTGTTTTCCTTCGCCAAGTTGTGGCAGCATTGCTCTGACTAATGGTTACCCACACAAATGGTTCCCCACACAAATGGTTTCCCTTACAAATGGTTTCCCTTACAAATGGTTGCCCTTACAAATGGTTGCCCTTACAAATGGTTGGCCAGCCTCCATTTAATTCACATGGGGGAGACGCCCCTTCCCGACTGCGTCCCCCCTCGTCGGACAAACCTTCCGCGCATACATAATGGTGAAATGTAAGGAGGCAAACCGCATGGCACAGATACGCGTGACGCACGTGGTGACCTGCACCAGAACAACACCTGGTACGAACCCTTTTTTGTAGTGGGCCAATGATTCTTTCCGTTTCGGGGGGAAGTTGCCCCTTCGCCCACCACATCGATTTAGTGCATAAAAGTACGCATGTGCATTAGTACGCAGGAGTTTCTATCGCTTCTCTTTGTGCTTCCCCCCCCTCTCCCTTCGGAATGAACCTACCTCGCGGGGATGCCACGAAGAAGTTATATGTACTGTGGTACACCCATTTGATACACCCCTAAACCTAAGCCCGACGCTTCCTTGTTGCATGCACGATAACCCTTCCGCGTATACTTATCAAATGACAACTTTGCATGGTAGGAAGTCCTCTTCAGACAAAAAAAAAAAAAAATAAAATAAAAATGAAATCCCCACCTTTAGTGAGCATATTTGAAATAAAAAAAAAAAAAAAAAAAACTCCCTCTATGGCTTCTCCTTTTTGTTCACCGCCCTGATCGGAGGATCATCCATTTGAGAGAAACTTCCGTTGGTTCTCGTGCCGCTGCTAACTTGATCAATTTGCAGTTTTCCCGGTTTGCAATTTCTCCAACGTTGAGAAGTCAGAAGAAAATACAATACAGAGGAGGGAATAATTTCTTCCCACCTTTTGAAGATTAAAAGTACCTTCATTTGGGACCCCCATAGGATTCATTGTTACATTTTTTTCTCCCCCTCCAAGTAAACAGAAAAAAAAAAATAATAAATAAAAAATAAAATTGAGAAAAAAAAAAACGATCCAACGTAGTAGTGACCAAAATGAACTTCATCAAAGAAGAGGAAAAGGACAAGTGCGTGGAGGGACAGGGACGGAAGCTATTCTATCTCAAATCGAGCAAGGAAAAAGAATACGAGCTGCACATGGATGTCTGTCAAGCCATTGTAGAAGATTGTCCTATGTTGGAAGTGTACGTGGTTAGTCCAAAGGATGGAAACAATGAAAGGGGTGTATTTGAATTTTATGAGAATGCCCAGCTTATAAAAAAATTTACCAACTGCAGTGTCTCTACAGTGACGTCCTTCATTAGGAAGTATATTCAAAAGGGAGGCTCCTTCCCCACGGAGGCTACCCAAAGTGGTGAAGGCAACTCCACACACAAATCGGACACGGTGAAAAAGATAGAGCACTTGATAGGCAGCAATAAAATCATCCTCTTCATGAAGGGAAGCAAAACATTCCCCCAATGCAAATTTAGTAACGCAGTTGTGTTCATGCTAAATAGCTGCAAGGTGAAGTATACCACCTTTGATATTCTGCAAGACCAGGACGTACGTAATGAACTGAAAATTTATTCCAACTGGCCCACCTACCCCCAGCTGTACATAAACAAGGAGTTGATTGGCGGCCACGACATTATTAAGAGCATGTACGATAGTGGCGAGCTTCGGGACGTGGTGCCCGAGGAATGCTTCGAGGGGTGACTCACGCATCGTCCAGTTCACGAAGCGTTCAGAAGCTGCTCGAAGCGGCCACTTACTTCCCGTACAGGACGGTATCTATTTCACTCCTAACGTATTACACGAGGTTCAGAAAATTATCAACTGGGGAGGATCCCCAGGGGGAGGGACACTATGTGGGTGGTTAACAAGCGATGCCTTTTCCATCCCCTTTGTGAGTTATCATCCTCAGATGATCCTGATTCCACAGAACGTAAATTTCTTCTCCTTTTTTTCCAACCGGTGACCGTTTTTTTTTTTTTTTCTTTTTTTTGAATTGCGTGTGCCCGTATGGTGCTCCTCACACGGAGATACTTCCACGTGGCCTCCCTCCCAAGGGTACTTAACCTCGTCAGCAGGTTCGTCACTTCTGGGGGCTGTCCCCCATTTGCCTCTTTTTCGACGACAGCTTTTTGGAGTGCTAACTCTGCCGCGCTGACATTTACCTCTCGTGGGCGCCTCGCTCCAGTGCAGCGCACTCTTTGCAACAGGAAGGACACACTTATGGGGGTCCTATTCCCAATGGGCCTTCCCCGCAATCGTCTGGATGACGAAGCTGCAATGACAAAACGGTTAACAAGGGAGAGGAACATAGGTGTTGCATTCATTGCAATTCTCTCCACTGGGTAACAAATGAGTCAATGTGAAGATGCGCGAGGTGATTCGCGTAGTTTCCATAGTTACGTGGAAAGCGGTGGTGTGTCTGTGTAATGTATAGTACAGTATAGCATAGTATACGTAGATGTAACTTTGAGGGGACGCAAAACTGCTCATGCAATCGAATCGCACCAAGCTTAACAAAGAAACGAACGGTGATGCGACCCAGCGAAGTTATTCACCACACGCTACATACAACATCATCTGGGATGCAAAATCGACGGCAATGTGAGATGCGTCACCTCTCATACTGCACACATGTGCGCAAGGGGGAAAGTCACAATGACGAATTGTCCAGTTGGGGGGACGCCTGGTTTTTAATTAATCATTCCATGTGGGTACATCCCTCGAGAGGATGTCAGGAATGGCTAGTACTCCTTCCGTGGGAGGTACTCTTCCCCTTGGCAGTAGTACTTCCCTGGGAGGTAATCTTCCTCTCTTTCTCCTCTGTGTGACATTTCTGCGACGTTGTCTCCGAGGGGAATCAATCCTCCTCGCTCGTCTTGCGGTGTCGAGGCGGAGGGCACCAGTTGGATAAAGAAGTGGCGACACAGTTGGTGACTCTGCTCATGTAACTGGTAAATCTCCCTATGAATAACACTGCGTTGGGGGAAAGCAAAAGGCGCCAACACCTTCATCATGCGTTCATAATTCGTCCATCATCGGTCCATCATCCGTCCATCATCCGCCCATCATCGGTCCATCATCCGTCCATCATCCGCCCATCATCGGTCCATCATCCGTCCATCATCGGTCCATCATCCGTCCATCATGTGTTCATCATCCGTCCATGATGTGTTCATCATCCGTCCATCATGCGTTCTTGTTTAGGAAGTCAAATCCGAGGGCCTATAAACGGGGGAAATGAAAAGATACACATGTGGCACCATCTCTAGGTGCACTCGCACAGATTTCCTTTTCTTGTGAGTCATATATCACATTTCGGTACTACCACATTACCTTTTTGCCCAGCTGGGCGATGAGACAGTTGGGACACATCTTGGACGTATATTCTCGCTTCGACACGGACTGGCAGAACGGGCAGCTAACTGTTTCTTCATTCGGCTTGATCCTCGTTAAGCTGACGCTGCATACTCTCATGTTGTCTGTGGGGATAAAAGGGGAAGGGTAAGGTAAGATTAATGACCCATGTGGTTCCATCCTACTTTTGAGAAGTACATGAGAGGGGCAACTGTTTGAAGGAGGGAGGAAGCACTTTTTTTGTATGCTCTCCTTACGGTAGTCGTTCGGGTCGTAGTCAATGCTGTGCTGTTCCGTGCTTTTCTGCTCGCACATGAGGAGAATTTTCTTCGCCTTAACTATCTCTTCCTCGGAGCCTTTGATGCTCTCGTAGTTCCCGTTTATCAGCCGTTTGGCGAACTGTGTAGGGGGGGAAAGCGGTGATGTATGGTGCTGAGGCATTGACGAAGCGGCGGTGTGTTGGCGGAGTAGCCATGCAAAACTTTCCCAGGGGGGTAAACCAACGGACGGGAAGAATGTTCTAATTCCCCGCGTGTGGCCCGCGAGTGGGCCGCGCCTCACCGATCCAGCTGTGACGTAGTTTTGCGCCTTCCAAGCGAGGCCCATGCCTCTCCTGAGGACTAAGTACAAATGCGAGTTCTGCATCGGACAGCAAGTGAAGTAGGCCATCAGCTCTAAGCTCCTCCTTGGGTCCTGCGTGGCAGTGGCATTCCTTTCCTCCTCCAATCTCATGGCCAAGATGTAGCTAGTACAGACATGCAGATATTCATTCATTTCGCTGTCCTTATCAGACGGGATTAGAAATATCATGTGGTAGAGGGTACTCCTGAAGAGGCTCAAAGCTGTGGAAAACTTTCCCAGAGTGACTAATTTGTGTGCCTTTTTAATCTGATTGAAAAGGAAGTGCTGATTGATGTAGATGTTCGCATCTGTTGTCTCCTCATTTGTGTTTACAGGAAACTTCAACGGAACGAAATTCGGGATGGGGGTCAGATAAGCATAGGTCGAAATGTACACATTTTTTATAATCATTTTTAATGGCTTCATATCCACGATGCCATATTTTTTCGAAATTAAGTTCAATGCGCTGGTTATATTTCCCGTCCTTATGTGGTCCATGATTCGTCCGTATTTTTTGGCCATGATTTCGTATAGGTTGTCGTGTCGCTCGATTTTGGTGCTGCTTATCGGCGTCCCTGCGCTTTTGCTTAGGAGGTCTTTGTTGTCTTCCAGATCCAAGTCGATGTTTATGATGTCCTCGTCGTTGACCTCGTCCTTCCACACGTCGTCTTCGTCCGACGCGTTGCTTCGTTGGTCTGCACGGGGGGGGAGGGAAGGAGTGAACGGGAAGCGGAAAAAGGGGAAGCGGGCAAACGGAGATGTCGCCAAAAGGGGACAACCCCTTTGCTTCTAACCCCCCACTGGGATGATCTGCTGCGTACCTGACTTTGCCGCCCCTTTTTTCTTGGCCGCCTGCGCTGGGGAGCCACTGGGGTCGGCTCTAGGCTGGAATGTCTTCTCCAGGTTGATGACGGGCCAGTTGTACGATCCATTCCACGCGGAGGGGGTTCCCCACTTGGGTGTGGCGTCCTTCATCGTAGGAGCTCCCTGCGCCACTTCCGGCAGACGCATCTGTTCTGGTGGTTGCTGCGTCGATGAGTCCTTCTTCTGCCTTAAGCTGGGGTCAACTCTCACAATGGGTATAGGAGGGGACAGATAAAAAGACTTCTCCGGGCAAAAGGTAGACTCATTTATGTCAAAGTCGAAATTCCTTTCGGATAAGTTGATGGGAATGTCGTACAGTTGAGAGCAGGCCCAAGCTAAGTTGACCTGGTTCTGCTGAACAAATACATTTATCCTCTGTTGTATGTCTCCCAGGTACAATGAATTGAGGAAAATGGAAATTAAGTCTCCCCTTATGATGGCAATATTTTGCATCTTTTGTAGCTTCTTCACGTTTCCACTGAAGAGGTAGAGGAAGGATAGCTTGTCGTAGGCCTTCATCCTCAACAGGGCATATTCTGCAATGTCGTAATTACCCAGTAGTAATGCATGAACACTTAGAAGGTTCCACATGTGTTTCTTGTCGATTTTTTTCGCTGCCTTGAGGGCATTGTTTAGATGCCCCAACTGAATGGACAGATTAAAAAGGGTATGATTGTTGTTTACCATTTGGACGGCCAAGTTGGCGAACCCCTTTTTTTTAATATACCCCATTAGGTTGTAACTGAAGTAGAGTTTTTTCTTCTCTCCACTGGGGGCCTCATTAGCGAAGGTGCTGCCCTTATGTTGTATGTCTAAATAATGATACGCTCTTTGCTCATCATTGTTTGCAAGGGATAGCTTAAATAGATACTCCGTATCGTTTAATGGTTCACTGAGCACCTCCTGCTTCCTTGTAATGTAGAACAATCTGTTTTTGTATATTTTAAAAAGGTACACAGGATCCTCCAGACATTTGATGAGTCCCTTTTCTCCATTTATCAATATGTACTTTAAATGACTCAGTGTGTTATATATGAAGACATTTTTGTTTTCCTCATCCCAGACCCCACTTTTGACTCGAATGTATTCATGCACTGTGCACAAATGGACCAAATCGATGGTAGTCAGAACAACGTTGTACTTAAATACGAAGGCAATGTTGTGCTCCTTAAGTATCTCCACCGAAATGATCGTATCCGTGTGATTCATTTCATTTAGTATCTTTTTTGCACTTATATCATACAGGTATATTTTGCTATCCGAAAGGATCACTACCTTGTTGTTGTTCAGGGGGTACACTCCTTCCACCTTAAAGGATACTTCTACTCGTTTGGAGGTGTTATCATCCGGTATGTTTTGAATGCTCAGGAGGTAGTTTCCACTTCTCTTCTCCACAAGGAGGTACTTATTTCTCGTGTAAAATGCAACAGAATGGCAATGTTTGTTTTTGATCAGGTATTTCACACTGTCCGGGTTGAACTCTTCTGGGCTTCGCGCCGCTTGCATGCTTTTTTGTGGGGATACATTCGCGCTAGCGTTCTTTGCCCGGGGCTTGAAGAAGTGCAGTGGGGATGGCATCGCGGGGGAGGCCGCGGGCAACGCAGAGGAGATCACTCCGTGTAGGCCTCCCCTTGATGGCGAGCCGCCTACGGCACCACCGCCGCCACCACTCTCGCCAATTGCGTCGCAGACGATCAAGTCGAAGGAGAAATGATCCTCCTCCTTGTAGACAAAAAGAACCATCACGTGCGTGGTGCAGAATTGGTTATATACCAACTTGTGATACCCCGACACCATCGCGTTGCCATTCTTCCTCACGGGACACAAACCGGTGTGCCTGTTGCTCCTGACGTCGTAAGCATAAATCCGTTTCTCCTTCACGTACAAGAGGAGTGTTCCATATTTGTCGAAGGGACATTTCTCCTTCTCAAACTTGAAGATAACCATCCCTGAGTCATGACCCGAAGCAATTAAATTGGAGTTCCTTTTGAAGGACAAAATCCAGAAACGGTCATTCTCTCTCCTAAAGGTATGAATACATGCTCGTTTGGTGATATCCCAAATACGAATAGTCCTGTCTTCACTGTTCGTTAACAGCAAATCGTCATTCGTTTGGTGGAAAACTAGACTGGAGACGTTATTGAAGTGACCCCTTAGGGTATCCAACTCCCAGCACTTGTTGTCATTATACCTCCACAATTTCACTAGCTTGTCATCGGACCCGGATGCAATGATCGGTAGATTGTGGTGAAAAGTGCAGCAGTTTACTCCCTTCTCGTGACCCTCCAGGACGAACTTGCAAATAGCGTCCGACGCACCGAACATGTTATTATTATTTTGTTGCTGCTGCTGAAGCTGAAGATGATGTTGCAGATGCTGATTATTCGACACGAAGGAGTATATACCCATCAAGCTGTCTCCAGGTGAGACTAACACATCTGCGTTGTAGACGCCTTTGCCTAATCCGTAGGGCAAATCGCTCATCACATTTTCACTCGTCAATATGACGTTCTTTTCTCGCAGCAGTTTTATGTCCCACACTCGCAGAGTCTTATCCAAGCTGCTGGAAATGATTAGATCCTGCGTGGGATGAAACTCTGCACACATTACGTAGTGATTGTGTCCTGTCAAGATCGCTATACAGACTCTGCTCTGCCAGTTCCATATTCTAATGGTTTGGTCATCTGAAGTGGATAGAATCCATGGGTACGTCAAATGGAACTGCACCTTCCTGATGTAGTCCAGATGGCCGACTAAGTTGAAGACACATTTTTTCAAATGCATATTCCACACCTTTATTAGGTAATCGTCTGCTCCACTGACGAAGAGGGGCTGCACAGCGTGGAAATCTATGCCCCTCACGGGCCCCTCGTGCTCCTCAAATTTGTCGATTAGGATCCCGATGCGGTAGTCCCATAGCTGAATGATTCCATTGTGCAGGCCTGCAAGGATGAGGTTGATCTTCGGGTGGAAGGAAATGCTCTTCACGCGCTGGCTCTTCGTCTCGCATTTTACCAGCATTTTGGCTGGTTCGCAGGACAGGTTCGCAGGATATGACACAATTTAGACTGGCACTTCTATTAGGACTTCCTATTAGCACTCCTATTGGCACTTCTGGAGCCGCTTCCCTTGCCGTTCCGCTCCTGCGCAGCCCCTTATCGGCTTGTCACCTCTGTAGTCCGGCCAGCGTGGGCACTCACTACACGGCGCACCGCACATGTACGCACGTACACAAATGTACCGCGTTGGCAGGTTCAAAATCAGGAAAGGGTGCCTTACCCCGTTGTCAAGTGCTTCGCGCAGCTGTACGTGTGAGAAAAGAAGCTCCTCTTATGGGAGGCAGCTCCCGATTGCAGATGCAAACATATTTTCTTTACCCTCCTTGCGCAACCCACCTGTTGTAACTCAGCACGCTCCGCAAGGGAAAAACAAACTGAATCGCAATTTAGAAAGCTTAATTAGGCACGCATAACATAAAAGGGAAGGGGGAAACTCTTTATGTATGAACAAGGGACTAAGCATTCTTTACGGATAAGGCGGGGGAGAGGGAAATTATAATGCGAAAAGAAGAAAAAAAAAAAGAAAAAAAAAGGAAAAAAAAACAAAAAAAAACAGGTGCTACATATGCAAGGGTGTTAAATCATAAGAAAGCACATGCGCCTTTACGAATGCCACGCTCCGAACATTTTATTTGCTTCCTGGGGAGGTCACGTTTTCTTACCCATTAAAAACGAGTCGATGTGGGGCCGCTCCTTCCCTTTTTTTGTACACGCCCCGAATGTATGCACTACGCCTCGCCAAGCCGTCCGTTGATCGTGCCGCAAGTGACACTTCGGGAACATTTAAGGGCAGATCACTTAGGAAAAACGCAACAGAGGTGTAAGCAAAAATGAGAATATATGCAACCCAGAGACTGCTACTCAAGAGTAATATTCCTCTTTGCCTTTTCTCCCAATGGGGTCACCCCAAGTGAGGGGAAAAAGTACCTTTATGTATGCACGTGCTGTGTACAATGCGCTGTCTGTCATGCGCCACGCTGATACTCGCGCAGTGTATTATGGGCAACCCCTCCGAAGCACGAACATAGCGTGTGTGAACAGGGCGGCAGTTGGAGGTCCCAGCAAAGCGTAACAAAAGAAAAAAGAAAGAAAGCAAAGGAAGGCAAAGCAAAGCAATGAAACCCAAAGGCGAAGTACTAGTAAGTGGACGCGCGGCAAGGCAGCCTATTGACCGATCAATTGAAACGGCAAGAAAAAAGTGGCTGTGCCAGGCAGGAACAGAAAAAGAAAAGAAACAGAAAAAACAAATAAATGAGTAATGCCCCCCAAGCTGGCAAAAAAGAGGTCCTTCCTTCTGCTCGTTCTGCCCCCATGGATACGAAGACACCTCCTGAGGGTGTTTCCTTTTCCGTTCATTTAAGAAGGCACATCGGTACGTCACAACCCCGGTTTATACTAATGCACATGACAGTGTGGCTGATGTGCTGTGTACTACACGTGTGGGTGAGATCGGCAGGGGAAAGACAAAAGAGGGCAGCCAAAGGGGACGCAACTGCCATCGGCAGTCTCATTGCCACTGCTAACGCCGATCCAAAAGCTCCTCAAATTTGAATTGAGCAATTTTAGGTTCAACACATATGGACTGACAAGGGCTGCCGCAATGCGACGAGGCCAAACGCCAAATGGCAATTTCGGACCCTTTGAGGGGCATAATCTTATGCTTCCCATTTAGACACCACAGGGAAGTCATCGTTTTGCACTCCCTTCATCCCCACCTCTTCCAGTGCGACAAGTTCCATTTTTATGTTTGCCCGCCCGGCGTGTATACCCTCTCGGAGAAGCAACAGAAATGAAAAAAAAGGGGCACTAACTCGTGTCTTGGGATAGACTTATTTTTAAGCAGTCTATTGGACGGGATGGAGGGAGGTGCTTTTTCTCCCACCTCGTGACTGCGGCTCCTGTCGCTTCTGATCCGACATGGTCTCTACACTTCCACTCTTTCACTTGGCTCATTCTACGCATCACGCAGGGGAAACAATTTGGGAACGCACCGTGTGGGAGGGCATCCCCGACAGTGCGCCGATGCAGACGTGCGGGTGACATCACCACCCCGATTGAGCTGATCTGCGGAGGGAGGTTAACCACGTTCCGCGCGTTAGCATGCGGCCCAAATAAACATAGCCACGGTGACCACGTCGGGTGATGAGAATAAGGAAGTCTTGGGTTGGCCAATTTGTCAACAGGGACATGGTTACACACGATTTGTGCTGACCAGAATGGGGGTAGTATGTCTCCTCTCATACGCGGGGCGGAGAGAAAAAGAAAAAAAAAAAAAGAAAGGAAAAACAAAGGAAAAAAAAAGGAAAAAAAAAGGAAAAAAAAGGAAAAAAAAGAGAAAAAAACTTTGGAAAGGGGGGTAAACGGGGAGAACTTCCCATCTGGTCATTTCAAATTGGGGGCTCATCACAATCAGCTTTGATGACCACTACCAATGGGAACGGACATGGGCGTATAGAAGCACACACAGGAGGATTACATACCGATGGGTGAATAAACCTCCATCATGCTGCATGATGAGAGGTAAATGGCTGACTCGATGGCTGACGAAGTTTAGCCTGAGGGGGATACCTAAGGAGAAGCAATCTGATAAAGTGACACCACTGGGGGGGAAGTATTTGTCCCCTTCTCGCTGGGGATACACCTCATGGACGAGATGAGAAGTGTGTTAATCCGTTGCAGGCGTTTACGTTGGGTCTCCTCTGTTAGGTTAGGCAGGGGTCACATGGCGATACAGCCCGATGAGAGCGTCACGACATGGCCTCCCAACCGCATAGCAGCAGCATCGCCTAGACTGTTAACCCCCTGGCGAATTCATATGATTGCCCAATCCTGTAAAGGACGTCGCGGCTACCTCTTTCAGCTCAATGCCCCTTTCGTGGATACTTCACCGATGGAAGATCCGTCGCCACGAAAGAATATGCACCTAAGGAATAAGTAGTATGCTTACATTACCGCACAGTGGGGCAGTCGAAGAGTCGCTTATATCTGCCTGTGCTGATAGCTGACGCTGGGAATGGATCACCCGTGGAACGCGCCACTTGTGCAATTCTCCGCTGTGACCCTCGCGTGAGGTATGAGGTCAGTGGGTTTCTGCATTACATACGCATATCGGGAGCATACCATCGGAACAACCACTGACCCGAGTGTACAATTCGAGAGACCGATTTTTTTTATTTTTGGGGGTGATGGGACAAACTATACAACACGTAGAAATATATTTTGAAGTCATAGAGGAGCGGTGGCTGGTAGGCTCGTTTCCTCGTTGCCTGGTTAGCTGCTTGACTCGCTTGTGCGTTTTTACTCAACCGGGGAAGAGTCAAGGCTGGCGAAAGCGGCAGAAGGTGGAACGCGTGGGGCCCCTAAGAGGAGCACAAAAAACGGGCTCCACCTTCCATACAAAATGTAGTACAGAAAAAAAGAAAAACGGTAAAACATCAAATTTGCGATAGAATTTTTTTTTTTTTTTTTTCCTCTTTTTTTCTTTTTAGGTTTTTTTCCTTTTTTTGTTCTTTTTTTTCCTTTTTTCCCTTCTTTTTCTTTTTTTTCTTTTTTTCCTTTTTTTTTATTTTTTCCCTTTTTTGTTCTTTTTTCCGTTTTAATTGCTAAGGAGAAATTTATCGGCGGAAGGAACTTTACCAAAAGAAAAGAAGCTAACATGAGGCAAGAGAATTTTTCGTGTATGTTGCTTGAATGCTCCTTTTAGCTCATTCATCGTTTGCGCAGATATGAACGTTCCTATGCATATCAGCGTATATGCATAAATGTACTCCTTTATGTACATGCCTCTGCGACTACATTGTATACCTTTTTAATTATCTTTTTTTATTTTTATTTTTTTTTTTGCATATTGTCTTAGTAACAGATTTGTAAGCTTGCGCTTTTTTTTTTCTTTTTTTTGAATGCTCCACCCATTCGTTCTGTCCCCCCTACATTACATCGAGAGCATCTTGTGTTTGTCGGCGCGGTTATTGGGGTGATCATTTGTGTGGTCACTCAGGCGATAATCTGTGTAGTCACTGGTACGCCTATGCACCACCCCTCATTTGCGCGCCTCCCCTGTGCATGCCGCACATATGTAGATGCATATGCCGCAGAGCAGAGATAGCGCAGGCAACGTTGGCCCCAATTTGTCCCAACTGGAATGAGTTTCTCCCCACGGGAGTCAGTTTGTCCCATTTTGTCCCAACTTGAGTTTGTTTCACCTCCGGGGGGCGCTTCGCTCACATTTGTTTAAATTTTTAATTAGCGTCTCGCGGGTTACTCTCTCATCGTGCGTCGATCGAGGGAGACACGTGGAAAAAAAAAAGTCATAGCACCCCAGTAGGTCCATACGTGCATAGGTATCTACATACGTGCACGCTGCGTCCGGGCAGGGTGAAGTATCTACGTGGGGCAGAGAGAGTGGCCCCTCCGACGCACCTGTTGCATTCGCGGTAGCCCAGTGGAAGAAGCACAAAATGAAAGAGCACGAAATAAACGGGCAAATAATCGCCCAGGGAAACTACACCCGCAGAGCCTTCCAAACAAACAACATTAGGATAAAAACGAAGAGCATAGTGAGTGCCATAGAAAACCTGCCACCAAAAAACACGAACCTACTAACCCTGAATGAAAATTTAATCTCCAAAATAAGGAGTGACGGATTAGAAATCATAAAAAAGGAAGGAGAAATATTAGACGTGAATTCGAAGAATGTCTGCTACGCCCTGAAAAATGGAAAGTTTCGTTTGATTAATCAGAATGGTGTTAACACTACGAGGATAAAGCTACCCTACGACAATGAGGTAGTCTATGTAGCGTTCAATAAGGAAAATGGAAAATGTCTCCTTCTCTTGGACAATAAGGGACATCTATATGTATACAGTATTAATGAGTACAAAGTGGATTTAATCCTTTGTTTGAATTTCCCTCCATATCAGAAGAAATCATCATCATGGACCACATTTTCCTCCTCCAGTAATGCTGGTCTTGAAAATACATTAAAGAGTGGCTTCCCTCTAAAGGCCAGTTGGCTACCCAAGAGCGACAATTTTTTTCTGACTGGGCATAACAACTGTTTGTACATTTGGAGCATCTCTTTGCTGATGAACGTGATGACTGGGAAAAAGTCGAAGGAAGAGGTGGATGTCACTGACCAGCTGGTGGCCGGGTGCGCTGTCACGCTGCTCTTTGAACCGATAATGCGCAGGTACAGCTACGTGGGTTCTAAGGAGGCAAACAATCAATTAGGCATCGAAGCGGACAACACGTCGCAAAACACCGCGACTGAGGAGAAGACGATGCTAAATACCTACTGCCTGAGCCTCAAAGGAAAGTACCTCCTCGCGCTGGTGAATAATCACTACGCAATCATTTGGAAACTACAGCACAGCAATGAGGGAATCAAGTTTACCCTTGTCGGTTTCAGCTCCCTCCAGAAGGAATTGAAAACGGTTAAAGCGATGCTGGACACGGGGGGATCACATAACGGGGGCGCCCAAGCGACGGGGGATGCAGCGGATCATGCGGTGGGACTTCAACACAGTGAGGCAAACAGCCGAGGCGATCCACACAGCCGAATCGATCAGTACAGCCGAAGCTGCCTCGACGTGGAAATATCCTCCGTGCACATATTGAACAGCTTTTTTGAAGCCAACGAACGTGATGATGGCACAAACCAGAGCACCTACTATCTGCTCGTTTTCCACAGCTCGTGCTGCATATCTGTTTTCCCGTTTAATAATGAAGGTGACCCCAGCGGAGGAGACACAACGGAGCGTATTGATATACTTAGAGAGTCTAGCGTACAGAATATTTTTCTCGAGAGAGATAACGTGAGCATCGAAAACATTGAACTCTTTGTGGATCCCTCGGAGTTCTTTGTCTTTTTTAACATCTCCTACCGTGAGGACTTCTCACACATGGCGGACACCAGCAGGAGTCTGATCTTCATCCTCGAAATATTCAATAAAAAGAGACTAGATTTTAAAATACCTCCCAAATTTGTCCAGCTAGCTAATAAGTCTATTTTGCCCCTCTGCTCCATCAGATTAATCAAAACAAACGGCTGCCTTAAGTTCTCCAAAGTGTTAAACGTATCTGTGTCTTCTTCGTCTTTAAATATAATTAACCTCTTCATGTTTTCCATTATTTTTAATTCGTCCAAGAAGAGTGTAAGCGTGCAGTCTTTTTCTGCTCCCATTCCACTCCTCATGGGGGACGTTTCGGGTGGCAGTGCCATCCCCGCCACTGCTGATGGGGAGACGGAGGCGGGAGTGAAGCGGGAAGGAGAACCGAAAAGGAAGGATATTAATCGGGGAAGCGAATTCGACAACAAGGGTACGAAGCGGGAAGAAGAATCTGACAACATGGGTACGACGCGGGAACAAGTGCCCACTGCTAATGGAGACCAAGCGACAAGGGCGAACAATGAGGCTTTCTCTTCCTCAGGGCACCCTGGCCGAAAGATCCAACCTGATGATATGAAAAAGGAAAATGAAGAAACTGTGAACATACAGAAGAATATAGCTCACTATGAGGAATTCCTAAACGCGATAATGACTTCGGGGGTGGGAAGTCAGCACGCACCCGATGCAGTGACAGGCAGGGGGGCCATAACAGGTTTCCCAGAAAATACCAACGGTGGGCATCAGAGTCAAAGGGAAGTTGCTACCCTACCACATGGAAGAGGAAACTCCGTCCAGTCTATGAGTAAGGATGAAATGACATTTTTGACTTCGTTCAAAAGGGGAGGGGTCGACACAAGCATAACGACGCAGGGGGAAGTAACGATAGGTACACCTCCCCCTGTTCATAATGCCAGTGCGGACGTGATAGCTACCCGTGATGGAATCCCCATCGCAAACGGTGATGCGAACCCGGGCAGTGACGAAGCCTGTGTTACCATAAAGAAGAGGCTAGAGGATCTTATGGGAAAGGGTCACGGCGACGAGGCAGCCCAGGCATTCCAGGCATATCAGTCATCCTACGCAGCGGAAGAAGGAGCTCATACACCAAAGAGACAATTCATGGGTCATCCCGAAATGGAGCATGTGGATGCCCTGACCAGCGGAAGGCACAAAGGGGAGCAATTAAAGATCCAGCAGAAGGTGTGTGAAGGTGGAAGAGATGCAGCCGCTGTCAGGGGCTCCCCTGATGAGGGCCTTGAAAGTGCAGGCAGCAATTTTTATGTAGAGGAAACCCCCCCGCAGAACGAGAACCCCATTGGAGAAATGCAGATGAATGAAAATTTCGAAAAATTGGAAGAAGAGAAAAAGGATGAAGAAGTAGAAATCACGAAAAGGTTAGGGCCGACAACATCGCATAGGAGCAGCAGAAATGAGGGCCACCCTGATGCGCTTTTGTCCTCTATGGAGGGAGGAAGGAGCGTAGGCCCCCAAGGAGAAACAAACTCGCTATCCCTTGACATACCACTTTCCCCTCACGCTGAGGCGAAAACAGAAGTTAAGGAACAGGAAGAAAAAAAAACCGTCGAACATAACAGCAGCATTGACATCATAATGTCGACACATGAGGACGCACTGAGGAGGTTTATGGAATGTGAGGACGGAGGTGAGCCCAGCGAGATGGACCATCCGGAGAAGTCGGACGAGGAAAACATTCCCAAACTGGACAGTCAACACAGCATTAATGACGGAGAGGTAGCCGCCGCAGAGGAGGTTCCACTGGAGGAAGACATAGAGCACAACGAGCCTTATGAGAAGGAGAACGATGGGGGCGGGAAGAAGGAAAAAAATCTGAATTCCTTTTTACAGAAATTAGGGTTCTTTAAAAGTAGCCCCTCCACATGTGAGGAGAAAGCAGCGGAGCGAGCCTCCCCGAAAGCTTCTTGCGCGAAGGCACCCCCCACAGTAAGCAACACCAACAAGGGGGATCTCCTGAACGAGGGAAAAGATGAAATGGAGAAGGAAAAACAACTGAAGGTGTCATTACTGAAACGTAACAACAAGTCAGACAAGTGTAACGAGGTCTGCGGAAGTCGTGGAAGGGAGCACTTGGTTTGGGATCCCACGGAAGGAGGAACTCCCATGGTAGATAGCGAGACCAAGTCGATGGTGAAAAAAGAAGAAAATGAAATAATCGCATTGAACAAATGCTCTTATAAAGAACGAGAAGGGGTGAGCATTAAGGCCGCCTTGAGTAACAGCACTCCGTGGGACCCTACTGGGGAGGGACAAGCAGCAAAAACAGCAGAAACGTCAGAAACAGCAAAAGCAGCAAAGGCAGCAAAAACATCAGATGACTTTCTCAAACAGATGTGTAGCGAGATATGCAGAAAGGTCAGCGACCAAATGGCAGATATTATATACAAGGAAATTAGAAGCTTTGGAGTGGCAACCCTCACGAAGGAAGCCGCTGCTCAGGGACAAATCAGGGAGGCTCACTTGGAAGGAAGCATTAATCTAGGAGAAAAGAAGTCATACGAAGAAATGGCAGCCTTGGTTAGCAATTGTAACAGGAGGATGAATGAAATGATGGAGGAAATGACCAGCCTGAGGAATGGAAATAAAAATATGAATGCGAAGATTCTGTCCATTGGCACCACGGTCGGGAAGATTTACGATACACTGAAAGGGGGCGATCCCCACAGCGCCCGCTTACACTGCGGGGGCGTGAACTGTGGCAACTGCGCGAGCGGCCATGGGGTGTACCATCGAGGACAGAAGACTAACGGGTATGAAGTGAAGGTGGAGAAGCTGATAAGCGAAATGGTCGCTTTTAAGAAAGGCATGTACACTGTGACGAGCAAACTGTCGGAGACATTATCGTGCATGTCGGATGAATTGAAGAGCTCCTTCGCCAAGTCGGTAAAGGCGAATAACGAGCAGCTGAAGAGGTGGGCACTGCAGGATGTGCGGCACGGGCGCAGGGACGAAGAGGGGGAGGGACATCAAATGGGCGCTACCACGGAAAATGGCGTAGACTACGACGTAGAGCACGATAGGGTCACAGGACAAGCAGGGAAAAGACACACAACACCCTCTTTTAACAAAGACATGGCGGACTTCTTTAATAGCGCGCATCAAAACGCCGTGAAGAAAATTATGCCCGCTGTTATCTCATCGGAGATTCAAATTCAGTTCGCCAAAAGTGTAATCCCTGGAATGAAGGAAGCTTACAACACGGGATTCCAGTCAATGAAAGAGTCGCTAAACTCGTTGCTAACAGAAAACAAGCAATTGATAAGTAAAGAATTGTATGCCATAGAAAAGGCAGTGCTGTGCGAGAAGGCCGAGGGAGGGAAAAGTGACGACACGCTAATTTCGATTAGAAACAAGCTAGAGGAACTGCAAAACGAAATGAAGCTTTTTACCTTCAATATGTATAAGCAGATTTCTTACCTGCGGGATGATATTAACGGGATTGGGAAGGCCCACATGATGGAGCTGGCCGATGGCGGGGAACTCGACCATGCGATGTTGCGTGCGTCGGGAGAAGACGCCGCGGAGGAGGGGGAGCAGCAAGAGGAGGAGGACGACGACCAGGCCAGCTCCGAAGAGGAAGAGGAGGAGATGGACCCGCGGGACGATCACAAAGGGCATAAGGAGCAGAGCGACTACCCGAATGAGGGGAGCGAACGAGCAAGTCGCCGGAATGACCCCAACGGGGAAAGGCAGTACGCATATCCAAGCCAGAGGTCCATAGATGATATCCAAAATGGAACAAGTAGCAGCTCCATCGCGGAGTTAAAACAAGAAGAGGATTACCTCCCCCCCAAGCCACATAACGACACTTCAGATATTCTTATCAAAGGGAGAATTAACCACCTACTGAGTGAGGGAGAACTCAACCAAGCATTCACGTTAGCTCTTTCCATCGATATCGAAAGGAACACAAATGCTCAGTGGCTGCTTCAGATGTGTCGTCGATTCAATGTTAAGCATCTCCTCAATGAGAGGTTGTCTCTAACACAACCAGTACTACTAGGGATAAGCAAAATTCTATGTGAATCCCTTATGAGGACATCAAACTTGACAATGGAAGAAGCTGACTTCAGAATGAAATGGATTCAGGAGTGTCTCAAACAGTTGGACGTAAACCATTCAGACTTAGTAAAAACCAATTCGTACATTTTTGTAAAAAATATGTTTAATAACATTTCTGCGTTTAGCTACCTTGTGGGGAAAGAAATTGGGAAGCTAAACGAGAGCGTCGTCAATTTGGCAAATCTTGACTTGAACAGGAGGATACTCTTAAATGAAGATCCTCATTTGAGGGAGAAGAAGATGCACAGCAGGTCTGGCGTAGAGGAGACTGAGGCTCTGGCCAGTAGGAACCTGTACTTGGGTTCTCCCCAGAAGTATTATCTGCACAACAAGAACATGCTTGTGGCTCTGCAGGAGAGGCTCATGCTTATTAGGAAGCTCCTCAAGAGGTACTGCTGGGAGAGGTGCGGAGGCGGCGCGGAAACGGCGCGACAAGGGTGCAGCATCCGGCGCGCGTCGCGTTTCGTTACGTGTGTGAAAACTTCGCATCGCCTTGCACTCACCGCTGAGTACTTCTCACCGACGCGTACTTCTTCCCACAGCCGACTTGTAATAACATCTCCATTGGCACCTTCTGTTCTCCACCCCCGCAGCATTATCGACAGCCTGGGCGCCAACGAAGATGCCCCCATGTGCAGCAGGTAGCGCCCCGAAGCCGCATCACAGAAGGTGGTATACTTACCCAGCATGAAGAGACCCCATTTTTATCTTCACTTGTAACAAATGGAAGGTAGACCCGGAGGTGCAGAAAGGGAAAAGGAATAAAGGAAAAGTGAGAACGCCCCTTTTTTATGAATGCACAGACAGTCGTAAGGAAGTGTAGGCTGCGCAAGGTGGATAACTATAAACTTGCCGTTCATGCGTGAGTTATTACATGTTTTGTCTTGTTCCAGCGGGAGCACGTCCCCCCGTCGTGAAGATTTCCCCCAATTGTTTAACTATGCCGTGTGTGTCTTATTTTTTTTTTTGGCCACATCCCTGTTTTGTGCATGCGTCGATGGGGATTTCTCCCGGCATAGGAGCCCCTGTTTATGTCCCATTTTGTGACCCCGCATATGTGTGACCTTTTTTTGCGCCCTTTTTTTTGCGCCCTTTTTTTTGCGCCTTCTTTTTGCCACCATTTTGTTCTCCACTCCTCTGGAACCATGCATCAAGGCGTTCCCCAGTCATTGCAAGTCACCTTTGTTATCCCCCCGTTCATTTTTCACGATGGGGAAAAAACGTAAATATGTTTATAGAAAATTCCCTCGCGCGGGTCTTCGGTAAGGGTAGGTAACCTGTTGTGTCCCTCCGTGTGCAAGTCAGAGGAGGATCCTTTTTTTTTTTTTTTTTTTTTGTCCAAAGTGGTGCCCAATCTCTCAGATTGACAAAGCCACCATCAGTGCTGTCACTAATTTTGTCACCCCCAATTTGGGGAAGGGCCTGCAGAAAGTGGACTAAGTGTCAAAAGGGGGACTTACATGGAGCAGAGGGAAAGAAGGGTGGCATATGAAGGAACCACGGGGGTCCGGAATAGTATATATTACGGTGCATCTTCTCACAGGGAGGAAAAACCCCATCCCCAGAGAAGTATACATCTTTACGAATTCCAGGTGATGTGCGGCAGCGATGATGAAACTCCTTCGGGTAAGGTCCTACATTTGAAATGGGATTTGTCCGGCACAGTGCCCCCTCACTTGTTGCGCGCAAACGGCCCTACATAGTGGGTATTATCATGGTAAATGCCTCCCATGGTAACGTCCAACATTCGCCCCCACGTGGATGAAGATAATTGCACATGTGTGCGCTTATAACCATTCTGATCGTGCATTATCGCTCTATCCCCGCTTTTAAGAAAGGATTCCACCTGTACGGGGTCCTTTTCATGACGCATATGCAGGGGGCACTTACCTCAAACTTTGGCATGAAGGTGTTGTCATAAAGATATTGGCATAAAAATGTGTTAAACCTTTTTTGAGTATCGTCCACGGGTATCAATCTCTGGCCCAACTAGGAGCGCTTGAGACGAATGGACAGGCAGGTTGCTTTTTCGGAAAAAGGTGGGGGACTTGAAAGGAGAGGAATAAAATGTGTCCCTGTCGAGTCTATTCTACTCTAAATATCTTATTATGCTTTACCCGCGCTGTGTTTTACCCCGTTAGGTTCCACTTTTTCTGGAGCGTCCGGTAGGCACATCCGTGAGAGACTCCACGCATGCGCATTCAACACCACACAGTCATGTTCTCTTTTTTTTTTTTTTTTTTTGAACACTCGTTTTTTGTACGAAGTCGGGATGGGGTTTCCTCCCCCGAGTTGTTTTTTTTTTTTTTCGCTAGTGTTAGTACCTTTTTTCCCCTGGGGGGAAAAATCAGTTGTAAATTGGAATATGCGTCTCCTCCACTTGGGGAACACTCTAATACGCCTCGGTTAATACATTAGGCAATACGTTCAGCAGTACATACTTACTGCGTATGTATATATATATACTATTATACTTATGTACATTTCTGGGGGATGGGGGAGGAGGGCGAAAATCCGCTGTTCCCGCGTGAGTTCTTCTATAGCCATACGCTGGGGACTCGTATAACTATGCACCAAACATGCATCATACGGGCTCTTACGGTGGAGGGAATATAAAAAAAAAAAGGAAACGACCCTCTCTGCGTGACACCAGTTTATGAGAACACAAAGCAGCAGCCCGCAAGCAGGTATTTTATTTGAGGGAAAAGCTATACCACTAGGCACCCTTTTTCCCCTCCTCATATGCCCCGAGCTATGCTTATTTTCTACAAACCACTGCTCAGTAGCAGTCACGAAAATAGATCGCCCCTTCCTTCTCATCGTTTCCCATGTCGCGCAATAGAAAAAAAAATAAATAAAAATAAATAAAGAGAATAGAAAAAAAAATAGAGTAGCTAAAAGAGCAATCAACAGGGAGGTTAACTCATCGGTTAGCTCATCGGTTAACTTACCTGTTAAGTGATCACATAAACGTTTGCTTACCTGTTTACTTATCCGTTTTACTTACCCGTTTGCTCCCCGGAGCGAACTAACAAATGAGATAAACCTGTTCGTTACACGAACACTGCATAGTTTTTTAGCGTCGCCTCATTTTTTTCACTCGCAACTCTACGAATACCAGAGCGGAAGAGAAAACCTATGTGTGCAATTTACGTGCGTATGGGACTACCTGTTCAAGGAACTCATATATGCGTACATCCGTAAGCCGCGTACGTATGCATACATATTTGAATCTTTTTTTTTTTTTCTTTTTTTTTGCCCCACCGTTCGCTTGGCGCCTTGTGCATTTCGACATCGTCCCTAAGCTAGCGTGAGCGAGCGAATGCTCTTGCATATGTCCAGCGCTGTTCAGCGTGGTGTCACTTTCTGTTGTTCCCATTTGTGCGTACCCTTTTGTTTTTCCCCTTTGACGTCACGTTACTGTACACTCGTTTAACTCCCCATCTGGAACCTCTTCCGAGTTGACTGCGTGTTTTTTTCTTTCTCATTGGAGAGTCACTTTCCCTTCCCAGCCCTACTACTCATATAACGACTCGCTGGTGCAGTTGTGCGGACACTCTTTTTTGGGGGGGAGACTACGGGGGATTGCAACTACGAACGTGCAGGTCGACGTTCATTTTCCCTCCCGTGTTAACACCCTCCTCTCCCCGTTTACATGTTCACAGTTGTATGCATATCCCCCCCTCTTTTTCCGCCACGCCTGCATATTTGTCAAAGGTTAAGAAGAGTGCCTGGCGTAGCTCCTCCGTTTCTACAAACGCGCAGTAGATCACTTCGCGTGAGAATAATCAAGTGTGGAAAAAAAAAAAACACAACGTCGCTTATCAGAAGAAGGGCACATTGGGCTAGCTACAAATTAGGAGTATTCCAGAACAAAGGAGTAGAGGAAAGATGAATAAGAGGACCCTGTCCAATGACGAAAACGAAAACGAGAAAAACAAAAGCGGCGTGAAGAGATACCTGATGAGCAATGATGACCCGTTTGAAAGCCAGAAAATGTTTCACGAAAACAACTGCGCGTCCAAAATGAGTGCCAATTCGCTAATCGAAATGAAGGAGGAAGAGCAGTACGTTCTTACCGACATGAATAACAACTTGAATGGAAATGATAACAACGCGGACATGAGTTGTGGCATGGGTCTAGGCAGCACCCTGATTGATGCCAATATGAACAATGATCGGGAGAACACCAAGTACGGGGGGGTTACCACGATGAGCGAATTTGGCTACGGAGGCGTGGTAGGGGGAAGTTGCGTTGTGAACAGCTGCGTGGGGGCCCCCAGGGACGGCGGAGCGAGCAGCCAGCCTCCGAACATATACTTCCCCAGCGACAGTAAGAAAAGAAAGGGCACCAAGTACACCGGAATGCCATTTCTCAAGAAGGAAAAAAACTGCGTCAACACATTCCTTGTTCTGAAAGACGTACCCAGAGATGCCGACGAGGAGGACATCAAATCCTTTATGAGGCCATTTATTACAAATACTAATCCAGAAATTGTCTTCGATCGGGATGGGATTATTGTGAAGCTTTACGATGATGAATTGAACAAGACTATTTTCAACTACTTTGATGAGCACCCGACACAGATCAAGGGCTCATTCGTGAGTGTCAAGCTGTCCAATCTTAGTGACGACAGTGGCGCTGCCGCCATTAATAAGGAGAACTTGGACGAGTACGAAAGCAGAAGCGTCGCCGCGAACGCCGCAGCGAATGCCGGCCAGATTGGAGGCCCGATTGGCAGTCCTATTGTCGGTCCTATTAGCGTCCCCATTGGTGGTCCCATTGTCGGAAATGCAAACAATCTGGGCAGCGGCGGCAACGTGCCAGGCACGAACAATGCTCCAGAAGGCACAAATAAAAAAACGGTCAAGCACAACAAGAACGAAGCTTCAAGAGTCATCCTTGTGTCTATCCTTAACATGCACTATCCAGTCGACATAGACTTAATATACTATCTCTTTAGCAAATGTGGAACGGTGGAAAAAGTCATCACTTTCTCGAGAAACCCGCTAATATATCAAGCCTTAGTTCAATTTCAGAACATCGAGACTGCACAGGAAGCCATCAAAATGCTACACAACAGGAACATATATGATGGCTGTAACACTATACAGATTCAGTACTCCTTTTTAAAGGAGCTGGTTGTCAAGGCAAACAACGCCAGCTCACGGGATTACACGGCGGATAACCTGGGAAAAAATAAGAACCTCTTGAATTTCCAGACCTCGCACGGTGTGCTGCCTACCCCGACACGTAAGAGGGGAGGAAATGTGACTGCCTAGCGGTGAACTGCGTGGCGGTCGAAATGGAGACACACCACATTCTTGTTCGTTAGCTGCTGTCTGCCTCTCCCTCTGACCTTGTTCCCCATTGGGGACCCAGACAACATTGTATTAAGCCCCTCATTAAAATTGTCCCTTTTTTTCTTTTTTCGCTCCTACAGGGAAGGGAAACGATTCCGAGTTGTACCTCATGCTGGAAAGGAAATTCAAGCTAGTCGACTTCGACGCGAAGAACCCCTCCAAAACGCCGGTTCTGATTTGTTACAACATACCGAAGGACTACACGGATGTGCATAAGGTGAGACGTGGGCGACGTGTGAATATGTTCCGCGCGGATGTATATATGTCTGGTCCGAACGGTGGGATGAACTTTGCCCAGATTTATTTAGAGGTCCCTTTTTTTACGCCACACCGTTACGGCTCATCGGTGCACCTCACCGTTACGACTCATTGGTGCACCTCACCGTTATGACTCATTGGTGCACCTCACCGTTATGACTCATTGGTGCACCTCACCGTTACGACTCATTGGCACCCTCCCCCTTTTACCCCCCTCCAAACAGCTCTTCAACCTGTTCAGCGTATACGGCTTCGTGTCTCGAATAAAAATCCTGCGGGATAAACCCGACTGCGCGCTCATTCAGTACGGGGGCTATCTGTTCGCCTCAGTAGCTCAGGAGTGTCTGCACCACGCGAAAGTTGGTGACCAGGTTTTGGAGCTCCACTTTTCGAAAATTCTAGACATTCGTATTGCGCCACAGCACAAAAAAGTAGAGTCGTACAAGGCCAAAACGTTCAGCAGCTACGATCAGCGACATTTGGTATGGCCCCAAGGGATGATGGACGAGTCTGGAAAAGTGCACCATGTGAATATACTCGTGTGTGTGCACCTCGTTTGTATGGCCGCTTATCAAACCCGAGAAAACACATGTGTACCTGTTTCTTTTTTCTCGCCCTTTCCTGTGCAGCTGTCAGACCAAGCGAAGTACATAAAGGGCGCGTGCAAGCCAACCAAAACGCTGTTCATATCGAACGTAAGCGATGAAGTAACAGAGGAATGCATGATGAACCTTTTTATGAAGTACGGAGAGATTAAAAAAATAAAAATCCAACCAGTTAAGGAGGGAAAGAAACACATAACCTTCAAAGTGGAGTTGAGTTCAGAGGACTTGGTAAGAAATGAGGAGAGTAATTAAGCGATATGGCAAAGCGGCAACAGAATAAGCAACGTAAACATTATAT